TTGCTCTCCTTGCAAAGATTTAAGGTATCATGGCACATATCAATGTAGTGGTCTATGAGATTACTGATGCTGCATAGCAGACAATAAAGCTGAAAGGGCCAGTGTGATGATGGCCCATCACTTTGCAATCTGCTTTGTAGATCATTCTCACTAATGCCCTAACTTACTCGTGAGAGTCTGGAATGTTCTGCTGACTTTTTAAATTCAAAATTTATATGTTATAAAACATTATAACTTCCCTGCTTTCAAGAGGGAAAGGAGAGGGGAAAGAAAGAGAAAAAAAAGTCAACAACAAAATGCTTCTGGACGAAGGGAGTATAGATATACAATGATGACTCATGGAAATGATTTACAAACATAAACAACACATCTGTGCAAGACATCATCAGCTAATAGCATAAATTTGGTAAAAATATTACAACAGCTATTAAAAAGGGCTTTATAGGAAAAGGACAGACAGTACTTGACAAAGCAATGATATCAGCATTAACATAAACTTTCTTGAGAAAACAAGATGTCTCTTCAGAATGATCTCTTAGCAAAGTCAGTTACTTGAAAGAGTTAATAATGATTTAGTACTCTGAAGCACTAAAGTTTTGATGTAAAGACCAATATTGGGGCATTTCATTATCAATGAATGCTGCCCTGACTAGAAATACAGAATTCAGGATCTGCAGTTTAGTGCAGCTTGAAGAAAAAATTAAGGACTTCATACCAAAATCAGAGGAAAACCTGTAATTAGAACAATCTCTGAACATACTTGTTTCACCCTCACAGCTATGATTACCATAAGAATCCATTATCATTGTGTTTCATATTTTTCCTTCCTAATATTGCCTATTAAAATGGATGCTTTGCCATCTTTTGAAGTTACTTTTAAACCAAAAAATCATCAGAATGTTAACTCTTTATTTCCTTTTTTAAAATAAACTTACAGTTGGTGATTTTGATATTTTTACCTTACTCATGCAGGAGAACAAGGTTAGATTAAGAAAGGAGGAAGAAGAAGGAGAAAAAGAGAAAATGGGGAAGAAAGAGGAAGGGAAAAGAGGACAAGGAGGAGGAGGATGAGAAAGAAGGAGCCATGACATTGTACCTCCAAACCAGCATCTGACACTGTCTTAACAGGATAAATAACTACTTATGAAGCTTCATAGCTGCATTAGCCTAGGTAAAACTAAAGATTAGATTGGTGCAATTTAAAAAAATTTAAAATATTGTTAGAAATAGTAAATCATAACATTCTAGTGACTTATCTCTTCTTGCCACCATTCCGTAAGAAATGTCTCTACATACAGCCTTCATGTTCTCTTTCAGACTATGAAATTTTCTCTGCTCTTTCTTGAGCAGCAACAGAAGGCAGGATGGGACCTCCATGATGGAAAACACAAGGATAAATTGATAGAATTAAACCCTGGAAAGACATCTAGAAACCTGAGAGACAGTAATGAAATTCCAAGAAACACTTAAAAAGTGCAGAAATGAATGCAGGGAACAAGACACTAGAATTTGAGCTTTCTGAACAACATGATTTTTGCCAAAGAAATCCTACTGTTCTTATCTGCTAAGTGAAAGGCTCAAATTGCTTATCAGTTCCAATAATCCACAGAGGTTATCCTGAGCTTCAACAGCTCTGAGTGTTTCCTGTAAACTGTCAGGGAAGGCTCATTTAAGGAGCTGTGTAAAAGCACAGATGCCTCCTTTAAGGACCTGAGAAACTGGACCTTGCAGTCTCCACATGTCCCAGACACAAGAAACCGCGGCCATGTGAACCTCAGTTTCTGAGTTAGTAGTGCATAAATTCTTCCTTGGGCAAGGAAACTGAAATACAGACAGAGAAAGAAACTGTGTAGAGTTTAGAAACTTGGTGAACAACATTAAAGTAGAAAGAAGGAATTATTTTAATTTCTATTTCAATTTAGAGAACATGGAGTGTTTGTGGAGGAGGATGCTGCCAAAATAATATTTTTCAGAGAGAGTGAAATAAAGCCTCTTAGTACCTCATTTTTACCTGAACATCCCTGAACAGCTGTATTCTTGTATTTTGCTGAGGTCACCTCATGGGTCTTTGATCACTATAGTTACTTTTAAAAATTTATATTCAAAATGGCTTTTGCATGTCTTCCTTGAGCACCACATGTGGTGAATGACACAAAAGTCAACCAGGATCCATTTTATTAATTGATGCAAAGAGATTAGATTCTAGATATTAACCTTGTATAACGAGGCTCTGTCTGTGCCCCAGAGTTTCTGAGCCCTATTGTTCTGCACTGGAAACAGTGCAAACACTTGATACTTTTTCTGTTCCATGGCACCAACTACAAAAACCAAAATAAATTACTGTTTCTACTAACAGGCTTTTTGTATATATTATTCTAGATTAGATATATTTTAAATGAGAATTATTTTAAATCAGAAATAATTTTAAATAAGATATCAAAACATTGAAAAGAAACAGCAATGTGCAGACAGTTGCTAATTCCATGGCTACTTTACTATTTTCTTTCTTTCAAGAAAAAATATATTTGAGGATACTTTACCTATGTGTACAATTTAGACTGCAAATTGGAAACTTTAAACACTTTAAAAATTTGTTTGTGCCACTGTCTTGACTTAAAAAGCAAAGCTAGAATTTAGAACAATAGTCCACTGAGAACCATTCTGAAGATGATGAGCAAAATATATGGATGGCCAAACTTTTCCAGGAGTGTAAAATGTGTGTTACTCAAGGTTTTCTGTTTTTAAGTTGAAGTAAAAATGATCCCTGTCTCTCTGCTCACAGAGCTTTAGAAATTGAGCCAACTCTGCAGGTAAATGCAGCAGAAACACTACATCTGGAGTTGGTAAATCTGCTGAAATCACATATATGATTTCTTAATTATCCTACTTTAACAGGATTTAATAGCATCTGATGTTATGAATTCTCATTTTATTATATATTCATTGAGAAGAAGTGTCACAGCTTCCATTTAAAAATGAGAAGTTCCACTTATTAAATGAGAATATTCTCCACTTAAATGAGAAGATTTCTCTTCTGATCAGCAAACTTTGATGATTGAGGGGTTCACCTCACAGCTGGCAACTTTTACTTTGATAAGACAGAAGCAGAACCAGTAAATCCAAAAAGATAGCAACAGAAAAAATGATTAAGCTTGGTAGCCCAGGAAGATATAGTCTTGCAAAATATGACATTTCTTTATCTACCTCTCTCTTAAGCCATTGTAGGAGTTCAAATGGAACTCATAAATAGGTTAAATACAAGTCTATTAATCCCTAATTAGATAGCAGTAGAAATTTGTTCAAATTCATCCAATTAAGAATGAACTGCTACTGTCTGGTGATAGAAAATAGGTTTTCCAACATTCCATTCCTTTGCCACAAAGTCTCCTACTTCAAACATACTTTATTCTTGTAAACTTGCAGAAAATAAAGTGTTTTAATTTTTAATTAATAGCTATTTTGAATTCTGACCCCATTACCTATAAGATAATGAAGATCCAAAAAGTAAATGCAGGGATGGTGAGGGAGGATAGAATTTCCTATCTTTTGGGAATTCAGGTTGGGATTAGGGCCACAAATTCTCTTCAGAATACCAGTTTGACAGCAAAGGAAATAAGAATTTGAAAGGTGAGAAACTCCATCAGGTTCAGGTGTGCAAGCCTATATGGAAGTATGACAAAATCATTTCTCATTCCAATCAATGAATAGTACGAGAAGACCAGAGTATGGCTGAACAGCCAACAAAACCAATACAGTTAACAAAAAAAATCACCAAAACTAATTATCTGGTTTCTAAAAACATCCTGTTCAGTTACCAAGGCAATATAGAGATGTAGCACAAATGAAGATTTTTAGGAAACATTTTGAAAAGGTAACTCATAATCTCTGAATGCATAATTTCTTTATTACCTGCAGCCTATTGGCTGAAAAAAAACCTACAGCAGAGATTGCCCATACAAACTCAGAACATGAAAGCTTTCCCAAATCTCCCATTATGTGCATCTTCTCCTCAACCAGCCTGCCCAGCTTGATTCACATTTGAGGATGGATATTGTAGTAGGGCACAGATGGTTTATTTGTGAAAGAGATAGAATTATAAACTCTTATATTCCTCACTGTTTGAGTATTAACAGAGAAAAAAACTTTCTGCCCAAGCAGTAATTTAATATCCACAACTTTTTCCAAGACAACTCAAACTTATGTGTAAGCAGCTAATGCTGTTTTTCAGAAGTAAAATAATAAAGGGCAGATCATGACTGGTTGATATACATCAATCAAAGGGATTGGAACTTGTCTTGAGTACATGAGGCTGCTAAACAAACAGTTCTTGGGCAAGACAACCCTCTTTCTTTCCTGAATCTTTTAAGAATTAAGTGACCCAAAACCCCAATACTGAACTGGGAATGGGGAACAAAAGTTTGCCCTCTAACAGAAGCAGACCTTTTTGTCGTTTCGCATTAATTCTATATGTCACCGATTTCTAAGTATAACAAAAATGGAGTTGTGGTTATGAGCATTAGTACCTCATGACCAGGCATAAACAAATCATAGCCTATGAAATACAAAAATTGAACCCATGACATCTACACCTAGAAAGCTGAAAAATTAGATTATTCTCCATCTCCTTTTTAATTATCTGCACATAATATACAATATTTCATATATCTTAAATCATACAAATAGCATAAATTGTAAAAAAAGGCCTCCTTTCTGAGGTCATACTTTTAAAACTTAACTTTTTGGATGATATTTATAAATATATTTCTACATATCAATATAAATTTTATAAATTTATCAACTTATAAATATATTTCCAAAGTTCATTATTTGTTCAATTAAAAAGTAACAGGCCTATACCCCTTGCAGTCAGACAAGATTTTCTCTGAAAAAAGTCTGAAAGACACATAAGCAAAACAACATGGCAAGCCCTACCAGAACATGACAGAAGGCTTTGTAGTGTAGGTAAGAAAGAAGGTTTTATGAAACTTGAAAGAACTTACCTTGACAAGAAGTCTGCGAAAGAGAGACGTACTGGATACCCATGTCGGATAATTTTGATCATGTCTAAGACACCAATATACTGCAGCTGAGCGGACACATAAAAATGATCAAAGGTATCTGGCAACTTGGAGTTATTAGGCTTTATACAATGAACGCAATGTGGTGTGCAATTCTGCAGCTTCCCAATAATATCTGCAAGTGATTTCTGGAGAAAAAAACAAACCAACAAAACAGCAATTATCAATCATTCTTATGCAGCGAAGACAATTGTTCAATACATATGCTCTTCCTAACTTTTTAACATTATTTTCTCAAAAGGGTTGACCAGGTCATGCAAGTCGCTCCTTCAAACATAAGATTTTTCTTTCTTCTGTAGCAATCTGCAGAGGGTAATCCTGCTTTTAAAACACCTGGAGATTCTTTTGCAAATTTCTGTCCATAAGATATTCACTGACCCTGAGCTGTACTGCCACAGTGGTTGGGCCCCCTCGTTCCAGTCTCTGGAGAAATGAGGATGTTCCTTTCTTTTTCAACAGCTGTGGAAGAGAAAAGCACACACTCAACAATTTTATCTCAAGATGAGCAGTAGACCTTTATTGTCATTGTTGCAGTTGACTAACGAAGGCAAAAATTTGTACAAACGCTGTGCCATAGACAAGGATTGAGTTTCAGAAAGAAATGGGAAGTGGATAAATATCCTCAGGTATTTGCTGAGCCATGATTGGTAAGTTTTGATTTCAAAAGCAGCTACATACATTATAATGATAATACACCTTTTACAAATAATTGGGCAAATCAATATGTTTCAGAAGTCTGTGGCAGAAGTAGGACTTGTGCACTTAGTATCCCATAGAGTCTAGAAGCAGCCTAATTCTGTAAATCTGTAAGAAGGTGCCTTGTGCCTTTGACAGGTATTTAATAATACAAATATTTTTTTTAAATCTTCTAATTTCTTCTTGCACATGAAAACACAGTTAAACTTCTCTTTTCTAATACATTTTCACCAATTCGGGACATAAATTATTAACAACTTCCTATCTCATTAGAACCAATGTTACCACCAGAATTGGGAGGGGAAAACTAGTTTATTTTTCACTGCTCTACTTCCTATCTTTGAGACTGAAATGGAAATAATCATACTAAAAGTGGTCCCAGAACTTAGGGTCTTTTGTTAAACTTTCTACAGAAAGGCTGGCAAAATTATTGCATTCCAGGGTTTGGCAAAGCTGTGAGATTTAAACCCCCTTATCAATGACAACCTTTTTACCTCTGTGTCTCCATTGCCTTTCTTCAGTCCACTTACCCCATAAAAACCCCTTTCTATTGAGTCAGCATATTCTGGCCTACTGCTTTTTCCAGTTTTATCAAAAAAGCTTACATCTTCTAAGCTTGGCCCACTCAAGCCAAATACCATTAAAAATATTATAGTGCAAGCAATTTTTTACTCACCATGCTAAACTTTGGAGCACTTTTTTATTTCACTTACTAGGATGCAATAAGATTTTAAAGGCAAATTCCCCCTTAGCTTCAAAACTAAAAAGTAAAAAAGATCTGCTTGTTCCAGCTTCTCTCATAAAAAGGACCACTAGCATGCCAATGACACTTTTCAGTAAAGTTTAAAAATAACCGAGGAATATAACCAAAATAGAATCTTATGGATAATGGTGTCACCTCTTCCTCTCAATATTTAAATCAATAGTTCAAGATTGTTTCTTGACTTAGTGGGAGATCTAAGAACAACACTTCCTACTTGCTCTCCCATGTTACATATGACTTCCAATGGGAAAGAAAAAATTGTTTCAGAATGAGCAAGAGAAAACAAATGAAAAATGAAACAAAAGACAAAGGCAAAAAATAAATTTAAGTCAAACTCTCAAAACTTGTACATTTTTAATCTTAAGCTACGGGCTAAGGAAAAAGGCTATATCACACAAGCTGCACCTCTTTACTGCCCTGTAATATTCAGCTTTACATTGGAATATCTTGCACCTCTAATCTATAGAAAAAACCCAACATATATGTATATTTGAAATCTCTGTTAAGAAGCTAAAAATCTCCTAAAAATATCTAAAGACTTTTGCTGTATAAACTCTGAAACATACCAATTCTTCCAAAGTAAATGAGGGGAAGACAACAGAGCCAAAATATGCACTAGGAAAAGATTAGAGAAAAACAAGGGAGCAAGATTGATGTGAGCAAGAGTTGTGTGAGTCTCCATGAAGATATCATTTTTTTTGAAAAGGCCACATGATCTTTATAAGTCACAGAGGCTTGAGCTGGCATCCTCAGATTCCTATGACTCTTTATGTGCCCCAAATTTCTGGCCAGTTAAAAGATCTGTTCATGTGTGCCTTCGAATGGATGCATTGTTGTCTTGCATCCTACCATGCTAGTTCAAAGAGGTGTCCTTGCTGTGCCAGCACGCTCAGCATTAAGAGTAATTTATGGAAAGGTAAACAAATACATGGCCGTATGTAGAGAAATTTACAATTATATAACCAAGCATTTAGCCAGGATTGCAGTGACAAGATGAAAGAGGAGAGGACTCACATCAAAATCCTATTTGACTTTAACTTTCTCTAATTCCCTTCCCTGGATATGGTGGAGCCTAGTTACTGCCCATATACAGCACCATGTGTACCTCCCATTTCGTGATTCCTACTGCCTACAGTATGATGTATGTTGTGACTCAGACTCCAGATATAAATGAATGTCAGTCGCTGGTTAATAATTTTTGCCTTAATGTCCCTCCTTCTCTCCCTCCTCTATTCTATTTTTTTTCTCTTTATTGCTATTAACCTCTGAACAAACTCCAATTAAAATTCAGTGGTTATGATTTTCCAACTCATAATAATTTAAATTTAAAGCTGACAAGAAAAAGGCCCTTACATTGCATTTGCAATTGCAGTAAAGAAAAGAACAAACCAAATATTATTTCAGTCCACCACAGCATATTTTCAAGGCTATATTGAAGAAGGGAAGGAGTTATTTGGGACTGCACAGTTACAGATATGGGCTTGCTCCACAACAGAATTTAACAACTTACCTACTTCCAGGTCCTGCAACAAGTGCCTATTCCAAAAAAACAAGTGTTGCTTTTTGCCAATGGAACAGCTTAGATTCCTAAAGTTCTGCTCCAGTCCTGCAGGGCAGCACAGTACCTTGCTCAAATTCAGTCAATTTAGTATCGACAAAGTGTTCTGTCTCACCTGCACAGCTGCTCTCAAAGCCTGTGCTTGAAAAACAAAGCCATCCTTGTCTCTGCAGACAGATTGAGGATGATGTTCTTCCCACTTTCCAACTAATGCCGAAAGGTTTACAGCATTCTCACTGAATCTGAAATTTCTGACTTCAGATATTATGCTTCCCAAAGGAATTGAATGTCTTCTGTCTCTCAAGAGACTAACTAAAGGTTAAAAGCAATTCTGGACATGTCAAAACCAGCATAATTTCAGAGATCCCAACTGCACAGTGTTTTGCCCTGGTTTTTAACTTAGATATGTTTTTCATACTTCCTCCCATGTATGGGACTAGGATCTTTGTCACATCCTTAGGAAGCCTCCTTTAGGAAGCTGTTACTACAGTGGAAAGGCACCTAAAGGCACCTTTTAAGGCCTCAGCTGTTCGCTAAATATAGCCTTAAACCAACACCATTCACTTCAATTTAAGTTTTTCCACAGAGATTACTGACAAGAACAGTAGTCAGGAATTATGCTGTTATCAGCACAGGGACTATAAGGAAAGTCCCATTGCTAAAGCCTTCCACAATGACACATGAGTGCAGGCTCCTTAATCCCATGACAGAATCAATTTTATGCAGCTGTAAACCAAAAATAGAGTTGTAAGATTCAGGAAGCCTGGTGAGGCAGCTGATGTATTGTGAGAAGTGCATGCTTCTTTTCTAGAAGGATAAATTCCAAAGCTCTGTCATGAATTAACTCACTAAATGACATTATTTCTTTTCAAGAGAGATGTTCCATGTGACATGAACAATTAATTTTCTGATAATCTTCAAAGTTTCTCTCCTGCTCCTCTCTTTTTTTGCTTTTGTTTATGGTTTATGGATGATGCTTGTTTGGGTTTTTCTTTTAACTTTTTTGTCTGACTTAGCGGGAAAATAAGTAAGTTTAGAAATAGGGCATATTTGATCTGATTTAAAATTGACTGGGAAAATTTACTATAAAACACCATTTAAAATAACAATGGTGGCCAAAATTTACATTTGATCTTCATATGAAACCAGAAATCTTCTTGTTATGACATAATAAGAACATTAAGATTTCACTTTTACACTTCCTATGTCTGAATTTACTCAACTATTCACCATAAAGCCTTTCAAGGAGAAAAAAAATGAAGTGTTCCTATACAACCAAAAATTGGTAAGACTGCATTGAGTCCTAGTAAGCCCTGGAACCAGGCAATCCTGAAATGATTCAGACTTGAAGGACCTCATCATCTTGTTTGACCTTCTGTTCAAAGAGTCCAAGAAAGAGATTTCTGAACCAGAATTATTAGTGTTCGTAAATTAGAAACTTTTCTCACTGTTGCTGCTTTATTGTTGGGATTAAGTACTAAATTATTTTAATAACGTAATGACTACAGAGAATGAAGCAGAGAACAAGATGATCTCAGAAATGACAAAATAACAGAAAAAGGAGCCAACAGCAGAAAGAATCCTAAATTCTTACCTTGCTGAGTTCAATATACTTCTTTGCTTCTCCACTTGCACAGGCTACAGATGGTTTTTTACTGAGCAAAGCTGCTTTACAACCTTTGATTTTAAGGGAATGATAAGGAGGAACAAGTGATCCTGTTTGCGTCAGTTTGGACTGGAACAATTGATTGATGACAACATTTTCACTAGCTGGAAATAAAAAAAGAGAAAGAAATGCATGAAGATAAAATATAAGTTAAAAAATTATATTTATGGTGTTTTTCAGTAAAAATACACACAATAGAAGAGAATTAAATAAAACAAATGGAAAAATAAATGGAAAAATGGAAACAAATGGAAAAATAAAAAAAATGAGCATTATCAAAGTTATCAAAGAAATTCAATGTCTGAAAATAGTAACACTATTTTTAACATATTCAGGTCCTGCGCTGAACCAATAGAGGGCATAAACCAAAACCCTTCAGACTGATCTGTCTAAACTTAATTACTTATGGGATCATCACCTCTGAATTTTGTTCCATTACAGATTCCCAATTTATCCATCTATTAAAGCAATGTAAGAAATGAGTTCTGCACAATTTCCTAAGATGTAATATTTAGAAACAATCAAGGCACTTGACAGAAATAAATTATACACACTCATTGCACTGAATTATATATACACAAAACATGAGCAGGGATATAAAAAAAGGCAATGCAAAGAACAGAACTGTAGAAAATTTGGTTTCTCTATATCAAGATCACACTTAAAAACATTTATAGAAAAAAGACAATGGCATACAGATATATTATTACTTGTACATATGCTTCCAGGAGGTGCTTTTAAACAAAAAAAAAGTGAATTTTAAGACAGATAGTATGCTTTCTCCAAATTTCATTCTAATTATCCTTTATGGCCACAGGGTTTTTAAGATGAACATGATAATTACATGCTGCTTGTACTGCCACAGTATCAATAAGTGTTAAGAACTCATTGGGTGATACATCCTTAACCACGCTGAATTCCGATTAATTTTTTTTAAGAGCTAGCAAACTGGCATTGTGATCACATACATCATATGAACAAACAAAAAACACAGAAAGATGAATGGGATAAGCATCATAAACAATAGCTTAGCAGGCAAAAATCTTCAATTTGCTCTTTAATAAATGCTTACAGGTTTCTTACTATACGATAAATACAATAGATTTGTTTCTCTTTTTCTGTGGAGGTTGCTATTCCTTACTTAACAAGAACATTAAATTTATGAGGTAGATATGGAAACAGATAATTGAAATTATTTCAGCACAATCAGTGGGCATAATATGTTTAAAATGTAATAAGCAGGATTAGGACAGGCATAGAAATTATGTCTTTCAAATTAAAACAGATACATCCTATGTCAAAAGTTTCTTCTGATACTTTTCAGGCAGGTATGTTCCACATTCCTACACATATATACAAATTACTTTAATGTAATTATAGTTAAAGTTTAGATTGAGGAAATGAAATCAATGAAAACCAAAGGAAGCATGCACTTAAGTTAGACATTACACAACTTTTGAAACTGACTCCAAAGGAAATATGTCACTGATAATCAACAGGTTTTAAGCCTAAGTCACTAAAAAAGAAGGCACTTAGCCCTTAAATGACTTACATGTTTTTAAATATTCTAGCAGAATTTATTGTTGTTATTATTATTATTATTATTATTATTATTACTCCTCAGCTGTATATATACTCACCCTCACCATATGAAACTTTTTATATCCAATCTCTTTATATGTATCCCCCGTTCTTGCTTTTTAACAGTTACATAGCTGATTACACATAACAGCAATGAAAGTGCAAAAAGGGATTATGTGAGAAAATGGAAAAATGCTCTCTCATCAAACATACTGGAAGTTATCATACCTGCTCTTTGGCAGAATATCATCTATGTTCCAAGTAGTGAGAACTTTAATATCTCTAAAACTACAATCAATGGGCTTATATTCAAGGTAATTTCTTTCATTTCTTTCTTGATTCGGAATGTACACTTTTTGCATCTAAAATGCATCAATAATTTTACTAGGGTGCTTGCCTAATTTTACAGTAAAATTCCTAAAATGAAATAAATTTTAACAGGAGGTCTCTATTTCTAAGGAAAGAAATATAAGTATATAATACATTAAGTGAAAAACCCTACAGTGGTTGGAGAGATGACAAATGACACCTCAGGGTGACACAGGTATTTCCCTGAGGAAAATGTTTTGTTTTTTCCTCTCCAGAAAAGGGAAATGATAGAGGTTTTCATTAATCAAATTATGAATCATTAATTATGATTATTAATTCATTATTTGGTTGCATTGTTATTATTAGGCATAATTATGCAACATGCACACTGAAAGGCATTTAATTTTGCATTTCAATGGACATTTATATCTATTCACTGAAAAACCATAAGAACGCCCACAAGTTACTGCTTTTAGAAAGGCGCTCAAGCAGTGGAGTACATCCCACTGCTGCCTCTAGGATTTTGGGAGCCCAATTTCCTTCCCCTGTTTTCTGAGTTTTATTTTTGCTGTAGTTCATACTCATTGTCTTCTGTAAGTCATTCTCACAGATCATATTACATCTTCTTTTTCTTTACATCACATGATAAAGATGCTCTATGTTCATGAATTTAAAAGCTTTTAAATTAGAGCAAATTTCAAACAATACTGTATGCAAATACTTGATAAAGACAGGGGTGGTTTTTTTTTTACTAGAAATAAAATATATATAAATATCTCTTAAAACTAAAATGAAAATTAAAGTCATAATATCTTGATTTCTAACAACAGTAACCACAAAAGCATTTACTTACTTTTCATTACAAATATGAGATTTTGTGAAAGGGAATCTTTATTTTTTTCTATCGCACCAGCAATTTCATATGTAACCTATAATAAAATATTGCAACATCATTAGTAATGACCAATGCATCTTTTAAAAATCTTACAGCAGTAGAAATGAAGCTATGTTTTTTTTTTTTACTCAACAGTTAAAGGCTGGCATCAGGTAGTATCTTTTGGCATTTTCTAAGTGCCTACAATGCTGACCAGAAGAACTGACTGTTGAACACTATGCGCCTCTGCAACTATACAGAAAATTCATTGGACTGATTTAAACACATTCCCACAATAAAAGGCTTTGAATCAAATATGTACTGTAAAGCAAGAAACACTGACCTAAACAATGCTTTCCCTGTAGGATGAACAGATCACTCCCAGCTCACAGAACTCCTTGTCAATGGGAAACTGTCCCCACCAACCATGACAAAACAATCTGAGTCCAAACTCACACTCAGGACAAATTCCAACCATTGATGCATCCTTTGGAGGTAAGTTCAGTCAATACGTTATACACAAATCCCATTTCCATTTCCAATAACTACGTCCATGAGGATTTTGGGTCACCTCAGTTGCCTGACGTTGTGATTTCAATAATGGGTAACTGGATTGTCCCTGCATCTGTCATCTGACTGCAGATAAATTCTAACACATGTACTAGACACTCCAAAAATTGAGCAAAATCTGAATTCTAGCCACAGGTGCTGAGGGTACATCCAAAATAAAGAAATACAACCAAATGTCTCTTGGGACCACGATTCTATCTAAAACCTTCTTTAATTTTTTTATTGGATCTATATCCTAAACCCCTTAGGTGTTTGGGGAAATTTTATCCTTGTACATTTAATAAAGCCGTATATATATAATTAAGATTAGTAACACTAATCTGTTCATTAATTTTCCATGGGGTCACTTGACAATTATGCAATGCTATCTTGCTCACAAAAGAAATTACATGTATTGGAAGTGTATAATGTGTTAGAGTAAGTAATTGTCAAATTATGTAATTACTATGGCATCTGACACGAACAAGGTATAACAAGAGAATTATGGTTCTTTTCCATGACAGATCCAATGTTATGTATTTTCTAATTGCATTTTCTAAGAACATACAACACAGTTAGCAAACTATTAGTGTTCTTTAAGTATACTATTAAATGCTTTTAGTGTACTCAACATAAATGTTGTGCTGTCTTGGTCCATAAAAGGTAATTAACAGAACTTATATGACAAATCCATAATGCCAGTTCCTAATTGAATGTCTTGGGTTTTCACTAAATTAGAAGAAGAGAACTAGTATTGGTGGGAAGAGTAGGTAAGTATGGCAGTGGGAGATACTATATCATGATAAACTGCCTAGATTAAAACAGCATTAATGCTGTTATAATACATCACAAACTTCTGGAACTATATTCATATGACATATTTAATATCACATAAAACAGATTAAAGTTAGGGGGATTCCCTTTTATGAAGAAATTGCTAACACTCTAAACAATTTTTCCACAGACTTGGTAAATTAATTCGCTGCCCGAAGTCATGAGAACTGACTCTAGGGTTCCATAGTCATTGCCAGTCCCACAAAATAGAAAAAAAATAGGTCCTCTTCCAGCTGTCAGTTTTGTTGATTCAATCTTGCCCTCATCAGAGATGGCAAAATACATGCTACCTAAAGAACATCTATTTCCCTCAGTTTTCTTCCATTATGTTTGTAAAACAAACCTGGCCCAAACTTTGCACTGGCTGGCACTCAAGCACAGTGGATAGTTATTCTGGGGAGACAAAAAGCAAATATTGTATGCTTTAGATAGGAAATGTGCACTCACTTAGATAATGGGTCCAGTATTATAAAACATACTACTTATTGTCACTTCTATTTATCACAGCCTGCTTTCTCTTGCTTTATATGATGACTTTTTACGGTAAACAGTGTGCAAACCTATCTGTCTGTGTTAGCCAAAGGAAACAAGACTTTTATATACTATCTGAATAGCTGAAATATGTTTATTTAAAAGAAAAATACTGTTCCACACTATGTTTTATTTCATTATAAGAGATTAAAACAAAATGGAGCTGGATTTGCTTTCCTTCTAAATTTAAGTTCATAAAGAAAGAGAGCTTAACATAAGCCATAATGGGTATGGCCAAATATTCATCTAGTCCTGAATATTTTGGGAAAACTATTGAGGAGTATTTCCATCTACCAGCACCAGTTCCCTTCTCAGCTTTCAGGGCTCTGCCCATGAAGGAGCTCTTGTCCTGCAGGCTGAATCTCACCTTTGAGTTTAGTATCTCTTGACTCTCATTTCCTCCTCAAATTTGTGTTTCCAGATCTCATTAATAAGACTCTGTGCCAAGGAGTTTCAATAATTACTAAGTTAAAAAAAAATCCAAAAACCCCTAAGTTTATTTGTTTTGAACCAGTTTTCTGCTTGTTTAAGTTAGCATAGCTGGTTTTAATATAAGAACTGCCAGATGCGATCAAGAGGTAAAACACCCAGACAACAGGAGACTCACCAGATATGCACAGAGCTGACTTTGGGAACTGAGTATTCCTCTTATCTTTTGACATATTCTTGCCTCTTTGCTTCATTAATTATCCTCATGCCAATAAATCAGAAGACTGTATATATTTTCTTCTGAACTAAAGTACCTCACTCATAACATCTGACTTGTTTAAGGGATTCTCTCCAAATTTATTGGATATCCCAATATACTTTATCAACAGGACCCCCTTTGCACATAGTTTTCATCAGTTCTTTAAAATACTCCTTTTTTTCCCCTAAATAATTTTCATATCCTGTGATAGGCCAAAAAAGCTCATGGTTAATGGGAGATTTGGCAGAAACCCTAAAACAAACTAGGAAAACACCACCTGGAATATTAGGAACAATTTGGCTGCATTCCCAGTTAAAAATGAAAATTTTATTATTTTAATAGCAAAATGTAGCTGAGAAATTCAGTTTTGCCTGTGCTGCAAATTTTAGGTAATGAGACAATAATTAGTTCATGTAGAAAAGAAGAAATTTCTGAGAACATGTCTAAGGACAATTCAGTGCACAGGGAGACACTTGTAGTTGCTAATTTTCTGCCAGTACTTGAATGTAAGTGATATGCTTGCATATACCATTTTTTAAGTATCACTGGGTTTATAAACCTCCCAAAACAAGTCTTGTTAAGCAATGACTGAGTTAAATAATTTTATAATCTGCAAGTCTTATTCTAACACTGTGATGGAACAGCATTTTGAAAGAAGGAATTATTTAGCAACAAAATAGATGGGTGGGGGAAAGCATTTTATAATTTTCTCCAGAAAGTGAAAATCCCACATCAAGACTACTTAAAGAAAGCAAGAGAGAGAGAAAGGAAGAAAAAGCAAGACTGTCTTGTCTATGTGAAAACCAGAATCTGTGTCAAATTGCCTTTATATGCCTCGGTACAGTTTAGATTAGATTGATTTGATTGTTCTGTCTGGGCATTCAGCCTGGGGAAAAAAATAGTGAAAATGAAAGCATCCTTATTGATTAATCCACCTCCTTTTATCTTTTGATTTAGAGGTTCAGTTTCAGAGTCTGCCTGGGATATACAAGGCATTTGAGAGAAGACTGCCTTGGTGAAGGTGAGCTGACAGCTGAGAGGTATTTTTGATATGCAGGTAGCTGAGAAATGAAAGACATTGATCTACACTTAAAGGAACATTAAGTGCACTGGTTTATAGAGCAAAGTTGTTGATCTTTAGGTCTGCTCAGTTTATTACAGTACAAGAAGTCAAAACAGTGGCAATGCAAACAGTGACAAGAGGTTTATTTAATTTGTAAATTCAAGTTTAATTTAAACAGCATAAAGCTTAAATTATGATGATGTATTATTCAGATCACATGAATAATGAGGCAAATACCATTATCTTAAATACGACTATTAGGTAAAGCTGTGTCTCTTGGCACTTGCTAAGACAATATATTTCTTATTTACTTGGTGGTATATTAATTCTTCCATAAAATTTCAAAAAAATAAAGAACTTTGAGTCCTTGAGAAAGTTCAATGATGGAAAGGTTATTCTTCAAAAATCACAGCTACAGATATGCCTGACAGTTCAAAGATATAATTAATGTGAAGCCCTTCCTTAAGTGAGAGCCCACAATGTAAATATTAATGTTATCAATAAATGAACCTAGAGATTCAATATTACAGATTCTTAGGATAGCTTCAGCTGAGGGTCTGGTGCACCCATAAAACACTTTGCTAACTCAAGACAAGCTTGCAGGGCGCTGTGTGTGTCTCTTCCCCCACAGAAAGTGTCTGTGAGAAGCACCTCAGGATACCCACAGTCATACCAGGCACCAGAAACAAAGCAATGTCCTAGATGAGCAGAAATTTTCTGGAAGAAATTAGACTGCCAGTATTCAGAGAAATGTGCTAAACAACCTCCAGATAAAGCCTTTCACTAGGATTAAATTTTTTTTAGTCATAAAACCCTTAAATCATTCTCTTCTACCTTCTGCCTGAACAAAACAGATAAGCTTTTTGTCTTACAGCACTCAGATACCAAGACATTAAACAGCTCTTAGAAAAGACTCATAATGTGTCAAGGCATTGTGGGATTCTGTTCAGCTGTAAAATTAAAACTAGGAGATAAAGTAAAATACTTGATATGATAAAGTACTGATGCTCACAGTGGCCTTTGCTAAGCATGTGTTCATGTGTGTTCACAAGCAATATATCATATTGCCCATGCAGAAAAAGACAGATTTAATCTTGTTCAGGAATAATAGCAAAATTCAAAAGAAATGAGGCAAAATCCATTTTCTCTCTTCCACTGGATCATTCTGTCACATTTGTGTAAAACCATATTCACTCTCAGATTCCACTAAAATATCTGAGCCCTGTGCTGATTTCTTCCATGTGCAGAAGTTAATTTGTGCATATTGTTCCTCTTTTTTCCCTCCAAAACAGACAAGAAAATAAATAAAAAAAACAACAAACCTGAGGTTTCTCATAAGGGTATCATACACGCAGACTTCCTTGAAATATTGATTCAGCCAGAAAATTAAGTAAGGATTGCAAATTATTTGGATTTCTTTTCCCCCTTACATATTACTTTGAGCCTCTTCTGTGTTCTTTGTCTCAATTCAACATTATGCTGTCTTTCTTTAACTTCTGACCCATTCTGTCTGCTCTTTTTCTCTCAGTAATGCTTTTTCTGGGATAGTTTAATGCTCATTATGCTTGGATCAATAATATGACATATTTAGTCTTAAGAAAAGTTGCTGAGTATGAAACTTAAGGGAATGCACAATGCCTCCCAATTAATGATACAAATTCATTCAACTAAAAAACTTGATAGTAGAAGAAAAGATAATTTTTCTACCTTTATCCTGACACAAAATTTCACCAAATAAGAACATATTAGAGAGGTCTTTAAAACTGCATGGACACATCTGTATCAGCTGTAATTATCTCAGAATATGAAGCTGGATATACCATTTTTGTTCACAAAACATTGTCTGTCAATCTCAGTTAAATATACAAACGTAGGTCTTTTCAGTGAGGAAATATTGTTAATAACTGCATTTTCCAGTTTAACTGCACTTCTGACATGCTAAAATAGCTACTGCAAGTGTCTGAGAAAAGAAATGAATCTAATTCATTCTGGACTTTGACCTAGAAACATACACTAGTGTTGAAAAGAAGCCCAAATTATAAGGTCACAAGTGGCTCATACCAAGGGTCAACACAGAATATTAGCTTTTTTTAAAATTTTCTTTAATGACTCAGAGTAGCCCTTCAACACTGGCTGTGAAGTACACTGCAGTTACAACTATTACCTGGAGAAATCAGGATGTGTGCCTTCACACAGAGCCTGCTGCATTCAGTGTGACTTCCTCCCCAACTGCAGCCTGGACACATCACTGAGCATCAATGATTAATGCTAAAAATGAAGACTTCTCTGTTTGATTACCTGTCACAATTTAACGGTAATTCTTTCTCTACCCTCTGGGTCTGATTGATTTCCAGTTACACTCATGTAAATACAGAGAAGATTTACCAAGTAAAAGGAGCAAAAATCAGTGAAAAATTGTGGTGAGAAAAAATTAAGGTCCCTTGGTATAAATTTGGAGATCTCTGAAGGCAACAACCAAGGGTAAGATTGCTTTATACTTCACTTATGTTAGACCCATTTAATTGATATCCGACTATAAAAATGGGTCTCAAAACCTGCCAAACTATATTGACACTTTATATATGAAATTCTTATTTTTGAATGCCAATAAATCCTGATATACTTAAAAGCCTCATCCTTCAACAATTTTCATAAAGCGTATATCACCAATGACCTCTATAAAGAGCTACTAAATGTAGTAATAGTGCAATCTAAAGAACAGCATCAACAGTTTTAAAATCTGAGTTTTTATATTCAGGGTCTCAACATATGAAGACATACTAGTCCCAGAATAAACTCAGTTTGAGTTATTTAGTACAGTCACACTATCATCAAAGTTTTAGATAAATACATATCATGAAACACTGTCAATTTAAGTCTATGATAGCTAGATAACAGTCCCACAAGGTACCGAAATGCAAATGTCTTTAAGGATTTAGCTCCATTACTATTAAAGCAAGCAGAGTTAAGCAGTTGCAAGAGAATTTTCCTGTTTTGGCAGGGCTAAGCATTTTACTGATGTAAGGATGCAAGGAACAACCTGACTGGAATAGTTCCTTGGCCAATATAAATCTGAGGATCTCCACTGACTTCAAAAGAATGTGTGGATTTACATTTCTTCGAGAGCTGTCTATTTGTTCTTGCTTTTAGATTAAATGTCATTACTATTATTAGGAAAAGGTCAAATCAAGTGTCTATGTTATAAAACAAAAAATCTAAACAACCATGCAAGACTAAAACACATGTTAATGCAAAGTGTCCTCTTTACCATTCACAGTTTAACTTTTAGAACCTGAAATATTGGTCTTTACAAATCCTCTGATTGCTTCTTCAGAGAATAAGACAAAAATTTCTTCCGTTTTGAGGAAATTTGCTTATTATTCTAGTTGTGATTTTAATGTAGATGCCTTGATGCTGCTGCCATGTCAAGTTTTGGGGTGTGGAACCTTTTTGAGCTCTTATGACAAAATTGTATTAGCAGAACGGCATTAAAACTACTTGTATAACAAGTATTAAAAAACTTTATAAATTTAAGTAGACATCTGAAGTTCATGGTCAAATCTTTATTCCATCACTTGAAGGACTAGTAAGTTTCACAAAATCTTGGTTGTACTATTATCTAATCTCTGTGTGCCCACATTCCTTCTGACAAGTCCCAGTAGTGGAGGTGTTCAAACCACTTAACTTTGGCAAATAATTTGATTTTAAGTAGAAGGCTTTGTGATGAAAGAAGAACCTACAGGGAGTTATTCAGAGTATTTGGGTCAGGAACTTAAGCAGTACTCATATAGTCCTTTCCATAATGACCACATTTCTATCATTGGGCAGGAACAAATTTTGCAACTCCAGACACCCATCAGCTTCATTTCCAAATGAGGAGCCACGAAATAGATCTGTCCCTATTTATACCACTGTCAGATTATTTAAAAAAAGAAAAGAAAACCAGACCAAAAAACTATCCCTTTAAACACATATCTAAGTTGCTTGCTTTGAGTTGTATGTGATTGTGGGGACAATATGAAAATGAAGTATTGGAAAGGAAAGGGTAAGACGTCTAAAAGAACTGATTACACTATTCCTGTGAACATTGCAGGCAAGGGAATAAAAAAAAAATAATCTAATTTTACAGTCATGCTGAAAGACATTTAGCATGTTCTGGGGTTTTTGTAGGAAAAAAAATATTATGACTACTAACAAAAAATTTTTTTGATTGTTTTACCAGATTCATGCTGGTAATCCAGGTATCTACATATACCGGGATAAGCAGAGCAGCTACAGGGAACCTGCACTGTTCTGGAACCACATCTGTATGCAAAGTGGAGCCAGCTAAAACAGCATTAAACATCTGTGCTGAGGAATCTGAATCACCTCTTTCTACAGTAAATGCTTACAAGGAAGACAAAATTTAGGAGCCAGAACTAGGCAGACCATATCCTGCATGTTGTGATGTAAGCTACACATTTCATACACTAGATATGCCATTGAGATTCTAAGCTGTCCTCTGAAAATTTAGCACTTGGCAGTGAAAGCCTATTTATACCCAGGAGTTGGAGAAGCCAAGTAAAATTTTGTTTTGTTAACTTTTTTAATTAACTGCATGTAAATGACATTCAAACAACTTACCCTCCCAGCATAGTGCATAACAGTGAAGGTAGAGCCCAGATCCTTTGGGGCAAGGTTACCATTTCCATCTTTTGTGGAAGAATAAACTGTATTTGTATCTGATGTATCCAGGTAAGACTGAATGCGTTTAGAAAGACTCTGTTCCACTGACCAAATAGATTGGCTTTCTTCATCCAGCATTGACAAAAAGCCTGATGGTTTCTGAAATGCAAAATAGATTTTTCTCATTTTATACAGGTGAAATAGAATTTTAGTTGCTCCTTGTAGTATAACACAGCTTGTAATTTAGTAAACAGAAACATATATCACCTCAAAAACGAGGAAAAATAGAAAAATATTGAAATATTTTGGTAAGTGTCCAAGGCTGGTCCTTCTATAAGAAATGTAGGGAACAGTATTTCTGTTGCCAAAAATGGTCACTATTGATGATCTGTTAGAAAGTGATTGTGTTGCTTGCTTCTTAGCAGTTGTCCAGAAAGTAGCTTTGGGCACTAAAGAAGCTGCCAGGCTCAGGACAGAGCCTCGTCAGCCCTAGGGCAGCACAGTCACAGTGCCAAAACACACAGAGGCTACACAGGAATTGGTACAGGCAGGGAGAGGCTGCTGCATCCTCCTCAGCCCTGCTCTCTTAGTGAGCCCTGTGAGCCACTGAGCCACGGCCTCTTTGACCCACAACCTTGCCACAAATTGGAAAATGCAAGCAGAAGTTTTTATTAGCCTAACATGCACAGAGTGTGTATAAATATACATGGTGTAAAATGGATCTGGAAAGTACCTGAAAGAAAAAATCCAAGACTGCGGTATGGTTACCAGGAGAATACACTGTTTCCATGGCAACTCCCTCTTGTACACATTCTGCTTGCTCTTGTAGGAAAAGCACTTCATTGATGTACTGGTGTATCTTCTCATTGGTCATGTTGACACACAGCTGTTGTAAAATGAAGAAAAAATTAATATTAGATGTTTACTGGATAATTAATCGATGTAGGTTTTACTGCATGTCTGATATTGAATTTGAAGAAATGTCAATCCACAATATGGTATCTCTTGGTAGACTACAAATTTAGGAAGACCCTAGGGAAATTTAGATTTTAACAACCATTATTGTCAATTTGGGAATACACAATTTTCTGCCTGCACAGTTCATTGTGAACTCCACATAAGAGTTATCAAATATAAGCATTATCAATACAGTATAAATCTACACTAATTCCTTAGAATGAAGAAGGGTAACTCTATATTATAAATGGGATATTTAATATTCTTCTGCATTTTATATTCAGGAAGGTAATGCAAATACAATGTGCTTTTAGAAAAAAAAAAACAACAACAAAAAAACCCACCCTACATATTTGTTTAGGATCCTGAGTCTGTAGTTAGTTCAGTGCTAGCAAAAATAGAACTCTGTTTCCACATACAATGTCACGGAAGTCTGAAGTCTCTTAAGAGCTCATTGTGTTTTACCAAAACATATAAAACACCCAGGGACATTCTGTTAGATACTGCTCTCCATTTTATACATATTCTAAAGGAAGGTTGGGAAGAAAATGGTCTTCAATAGAAAAGTTCAACATTTGGGGACATAAATAGAGTAGACACTTATAAAATATTTTTTTTGATTGCCTTATAGGATATAAAACTAAACAGATTCACAGAAATATATTTTCAGTTAAAAACAGATGGGATTTGTACCAGCTTATTTGTATGCTTTTGTATTTTATTCAAAGCCTGCCTGCTAAAATAGGTCAGTATTTAATAACCTTGTGGAATAAATGTTTAAACTGGTTTTTTTGACATTAAAGTGGAAATTTTAGTTGAAAATTTTAAAACCTCCTCCAATGCTACATTAACTATGACTAAGAATTAAGAAAAAAGAAACTCCTAAAAGGGTGTAAGAACACTTCATATGAAGAATGATACAAGGAATGCCTGCATGCATTTTCTTTTCAGTCTAAACTATTCACATATTTGTGTTGGCCAGTCATAAACTATATCTTCCATGAATAAAGTGTGTAAAGCAATTCTCCCAGCAAGTCATGTTAAAAGGTATGAAATATTTAGATCAATCCTAAAATTACATGGCTTAACATCCAGATGAGGGAAGAGAACCCAAGTAATATGTAAGAGTTGCCTGAATTTTCCATTAACATCTCCTGTTAGCATAGCCAACTTGTACTCACTACACAATAAAATGGACTAGTGTGAAAAACAGCAAGAAGAAATGAGACAAAGCTCATTTTACAACCAAATGTCTATTAACTGCTTTTACTAATGCATGACAGTGCAGACAAAAGACAGCCTCGAATAAAAGCAATATTTCTTTAAAGTGGGATTTATAAACATTCAGATTGTTATCTTAGCAATAGAAGTATGCAACTGACTTCCAGTTGTATACTTCAATTGTTATTTTATGGAAAGACAGCTTTTTTAACTCTGTGGCAGGCAAACTGTGCTTTACTGATCACTTCTGGAATTCTAATTACAAAATTTTTCCAGAAGCTTGTTAACATTATTTTATAAGGCAGACAAGCTTACACTTTGCAGAATATGGTAAAGCCTTAAAATGATGCATGCTGTATATATCTTTATTTGCAGATGACCTATTTAGAGAACCAGGTCATTCAACTTTACAAAAGTGTATTCTATATTAAGAAAAGCTGTCAAAATTCCCATAAAGTTTACTTTTTATCATGAGCCAATCTCTTAAAATGCATTAAAAAAGTATTTGAGAGCCTGACTGTGCAGCAAAACTACTGAACTACACAATTTGAGACAAAGGAAAGATTGTCTTAGACCTATCTTAACAAAGATCTGATAAACAGCAAAGGTTTTAAGTAGCAAAATAAAAGGAATAGTATTTTATTAAAATATTCATGATGGTAAAGAAAAAACCAATTTTTTAAATTTTACCAACCAGTGCATTATGGCATACACTGGGGTGCTTCTTAGCAACAAAAGCAACATCGTGACCCAGACTGGCAGACCTGCCACAGCGGCACTAAGGTTCTGCAGACCAGGGCAGAAAGCAGCTCAAGCCCTTGTGCAAAGTGCAAACTGCAAACCCAAAGCTGCTCTCTGGAGCAATGGCTGAGAGAACAGCTCTGCAGAACGAGAACCAGGAGAACAGCCAAGGGCTGCTGGAAAGCAACGCATTCTGATCCGTTCTTTCTCCATTTCAGCGTTTTATACGACCTGCTGGGAAGAGGTAATGAAAGGAATGTTTCAAATTAAAAGCTTGGCACAGGTTGACATAATAGTTAAAGCAGCTGAAATGCAGAAATGGGATGGATATGAACTAAACTAGCTTTGCAAACCCTAACTCTTTTGCTTCAAGTCTTCTAAGTATTACATAAAGCAATTATATACTTTCTGTCTAAAGATTTGAAAAGTTCATAGAATCATATTTTTTGAACATGTATTTAACTGTACTCATGCAAATTAGATTGAAATATAACAGTAATTAAAAAACAAAACAAAAACAAAACAAAACCAAAACATTTAAATAGATTTTTACCTAAAGCAAATATTTGGGAAATGCCTTTAAGAACTATATTTGCTTTAACTAGCAGCATTACTCAACATTACCTATGGTACTTTTTGTCATTAAACATTGTTAAACTGTTCTTGATATGCATCTCATGGACTCCATATTATGTCTTCTAAGTAGTTCTCTTTCTACCAATCTTTTTTACATTAACTCACTATCTCATCTCAGTGAAAATAAATACAACATGTATTTGTTTCTCTTCTCCAAAAAGTCCTGTCAGAATATTATTAGAAGAAAAAATATGCTTGTTCAAGTATTTACAAAAAACAAAAACAAAACCAAAAACCCAAACAAAAACAATCATAACTTGCAGCACCACCCAAACTTTAGATTTTGGAAAATAATACAATGGCATTTAGTAAAAGCAATAAGTATTCATCACATTAGACTAAGTGCCCTTCAAATTAAAATTTAGGTAGAATACCAAAATTGTGCTGTGCCCTGAAGACAGAAAAGCACCCATGACTAATGAAATTTTCCTGCTCTTTATTCAATTTTCAGGCTCTTATGCCTATTTGAAAAAGGCATTACAAAAGAAGGAGATTTGTGGAAAGCAAACTTGGTGACTGTCAATCAGTGAAAGAAAGATGGATGCAAAGACCCTTTGGAAAACTCATTTACATCCTTTGTTCATGCAGAAGGATTAACCCTCCCAAGGAATGTGTATTCAGAACATGGAGTAAAGCTAACAGCTGTCATTTCAACATATCCATCAGGCCCTAATTTATGGGTTAAGATGATGAAGTTACGATGTCAAATTTCACCTGCAAGGAAGTGCCCTAGTGTTTCTCAAAAATGTAATTTCTAAGATAATGAAACACAGAATCATCTTTTTTTCTAAGGTTGGACTCAGAAAATATTTTTAAACCTAAGCTTGACACTTATTTTTTAGAAGTATCTTGAATGCTGTTCCTCTTTGTGTCTGCTACCCAAACATTTCAACATCCTTTTCTGTATGAATAGTACCCATCAGAATATTTCTAAGGAATTGATTATAAAACCAGGACCATTACATTTCTTCCTTTGCCTTCTAGTGTTAACAGAATCTAACACAGATTTCTTGTTGTCCATGCAGCTCCAACACAAATTCAGACATGGTCCTACCTCTGTCAGAAGATCTTTAATTCACTGGGACTCTGTCATCTCTGGGATCAGTTGCCATTAGCTGATTTGTGTTCCTCAAACAATGTAAAAGAGAGCCTGGCACTATATTTAAACTTTGCTACAAGTAGCTGTCACCTGAGAAGACTTCAAAAGAGGAAGGTCTGAAATGCCCCTCAAAAAAGGGACAATTTCAATACAAAGTGGAATGGTCCCCCACTGAATTTTCGGAGATATGAAAGTATTAAACAACCAAGCTAAGAAAAAAACCATGGTAACAACAATCTTCCCTTGAAAGAGTTTGGAATTGTTCTGAAACTGAAACAGTTCTAATTATTTTTTCACTTGTAATGCTGGCCAGAAACTAGGTACTATGGGATAAAAACGGTGCTACTGTGGAAAAGTAAGTATGTATGTAAGTTCAATGTTGTTGTACAATATTTCACCAATCAATCATAAACTGGGGATCTCAATTTGAGATAAATAATTTTATTTTTGGCTACAAAAAATCTACTGTAAAAGAATTTTAAAAAATTATTTTAATGTCACATTCATGATAAGCCAGCTTTAAAGTCAAAGTAACACTGGTTTTTCAGTGGTTGACTGGAACACTGGAAAGATAATAGTGCCCTGCATAAAGAGAAAGAAATGTGTGCACTGGGAAGAAGAAGACCAAAGAGTCTAAGAGGGAAGAGGGAGGAGTACACCCTGACAAAGGCCATGAAGAGTATAAGATCTTCTGGAGCTGGACTGAAGAAAGTAAAACACAGGATTGCCAGGCCCCTGAGGGAAGGAATAGGCTTTTAGAGCCCTGCTCAGCTTTTCCTGGGGCCCCCATCCACTCCTTGCTGATGGGCCCAGTCCCAGGTGGTGCCATGGCCGTGCCAGCTTCCAGCTCTTTCTCCAGCTGCCTGTGACAGGGTCCCAGCTCCATCTGGCTGCTTGCCATGTCAGGGGTGCTGATGGGCACTGGTCTGTCCACCAAGCTCCAGCGATGCTGCCCTGCAGGGAGGGCACGGCCATCCTCTGGCTCCTCCTCTTGCCTGGCTCCCTGGTGCCAAGGATCACCTGGGCTTCACTGCTCCACAACAAGGTTGGTAAAACCTTCCTGTGTATGGAGGCCAGCAAAACTCTGACTTAAAAACACCACGTCATGTTTCCTTGTTAAAAACTGAATTAACGTAGTAAGCACTTTCCATCATCCTACAGGGAGTAAGGAACACTCCAGCACTGGGAACTGGAGTATGGAAGGTTCTGCACTAAGTCCCAAAACAGTAATAGAGCTCAGTGTGCACCAGCAGCTGCCTATTCCACAGAGGCACACAGCAACCTCCATCTGTGCTCTGCATAGACAAAACCAAAGAAGGTTGATTTCTTCTGCACGAAACAAAATCTTTAAATGCTCCTTCAGACTGTCCAAATGTAAAAACCTGTGTGTGACCTCTCATCTACTGTCACTGAGGCAGCGATGACTGTAGAAAAGTTACATCATGTAACTTTTGTCCATTCATACCCTCCACTTCAAAGCAGACATCATGACCTCACATTTAGACAGCTAGAAACAGTCTAATGGCTGAGACAATGCAATTTAACGTAAAATAATCTGTTATGATTGTTCTGGCTAGGAAATATGTGACAAAAATGTAGTGTCAACTGAGTTAACCATAGAAATAACATGCTGAGAAATTAAAATCTATCACACCTAATAATATACATAGGTGAAAATTCCAACACAGATGGATTCTATGACCTCTTCTGCTTCACCACAGTGACTGGAGTAGAGTCCTGAGTAGGGCAGGCAATGCTCTCTGCTCTCAGAGCCAGGTGGTTTCTTTTGCAGGAGATGTGCTGCACAGAGCTGCCATGGAAGCTGTGCCTCTCCCAGGGCTCTACTGCATCACACAGATAATGTGCATGTACTTTAATGGCTATGGAGCTGAATGGGAGTCAAGAGACACTTGACTGTTGCACTGACCTGCAGTACTAATTTAGATAAATCACTTTTATTTCCTATAAAAAGAATAATATGTAGATACTTTCTACCCAAAACTTGAGAGGCCTACAGATGTAAATTACCATGCAAGAGCTAAACACAGAATTTACCAAGAGCTAAATACTTTCTTCAGTTTCTCATTTGAATTCTATATTGGACAGGAAAGACTGCTAGCATTGTCCATTTAACTTTCTTGCATTATTGTTCTTTTTGGTGAATCTACAGGTCCCGACTTCCATTTCTGTAGAAAGACCTGACTTTCTGCAGGGGGAAGAAAAGCTACTCTTTCTCCTCCACTGTCTGGTTCTTCTTCTATAATACATTTTTCTTGGATACAGCTGGGGCAAATTGGTTCAGGCCACTGAACAATCTGCTTGTTGCTTCTAATATTCATTGGTTATGAGTTTGTGGTCAAAAATAACCTATCATAAGTATGAAGGTTGTAGCCTTCCTTGACTGTACTATTTGGATTAGTGCTGTGAAAGAGCCATTAATAAGACCTCATTTAGTTTTAAATTCTACTAGAAGAGAAGAAGACATTTAGTTTTAAAGGGGTACAGAATAAACTGGAAACAAATACAGCCCCTCTCAAATAGGAAGCCTGTAAAAACACTGAATTAACACTGGAAACTTCCATTGGTATTTTTGGTGGAGAACTCATATTTCCTGAAATGACCACAAAAAAAAGGCCATTTCTTTACAGAATAGGAAAGAGAAATTCTGTTCACTTCTAACCATGTTCCAATGTGGTTGTATACAAAGCTCTTCTGGCACAGCAGGTATGCAGCTGCTCCAGGAAAATGCTGCTCCCAAGCTAATGATCACTGCTAGGAAGTGATTGTAAATTGTTATTAGGGTGAGCTCAAAGTGTACTGTAGTCATTTACCATAGCTCAGCTGATGAGCAGTAAAAGCAGAAACTCACTGGGTCCTAGTGATTCAGAAGCTTTCAGTCTTTATTGAGCAATGACTCCTTCAGATTGTGCCTTCTAAAAACAGTGTTCCCTGCCTTTCAGCTTTTAAATTTCATACCAAAATCAAAACTCCCCTCACTATTGCTTATTCCACACACTTATTTGCTTTTATTAAAGAATTACATGTCCAATTTTTGCTCTTATATCACACGTTCTATGCAATAAAGGCTTACCAATACTCACCCAATAAAAGGGAAACAATTATTAATGATTTTAACTTCTAATGCCTTCTTGTTTACAATGGCCTATAAAAGTTTTCTCTCTACAACCTGTCAGCTACATCTTTTTCCTGTAGAATTTATTAGATCTTGGTGTAGGCATAATTCATCTTACTTTTCTAGTCCTTTGACAGATGTCTTCCTTTGCATTGCTCATGAGTTGTTCCTAGACCAATTCTTCTTTTGACTTTGATATTTCAATACTCTAATGCCTTGTCATTACAAAACATACACTGGAGTAAACAAGTTATTCTACCTAGTTTATCCATCTCTGTTTGTCTGAAGCATCATCAAACACAGTTTATTAAAACTGACATGTGATTTACTATCTTATTACTCTCTTAATTATGATATTACACTGTCTATCTACCAGCCTGATATAAAGCTCCAGAAAGATTCACACAGCTACTTTGAATGTCCCCAGTTTTGGGCAATCAGGAGGTTTTAATTTTTATTGAAAACAGTCACAATTTTTTCCAAGAAACAAGGAAAACAGATATTAGAAAGAGTGCCCTATTATACACTAACATGAAAAAAAATTAATTTTCCCTAAAATTACTTTTCTAATGACATATTCAAATATGCTAATCTAAATGTGATTAAAAAATAATTTTTATGGCTCCACTACAGTCTGTTTGTAACATTTAATGCTAACATTCTGCAATCACAGCCCTTGACTCTGGGCATGTTTGCAGACATGATGCAATGTTCTGCATGAGGACCCCATCTGGGCTAACGAGACTGTTTATTGTTAGGGTTAATAAGCCCAGGCAGAACTCTGAACTAGACTAGATTGCTGGAGAGCTCCAGCTTTGAAGTTCAGGCTGTCTGGGGTAAGTCTGCATGATTAGCATGTACCACATGGAGATACAAACTGCTTCTCTTCACTGATACTAGAACCCACCACTTCAGGAATCAGATACGTTAATTGCATTATAGAGTTCATATAAAAAACTCTCACTTCTGCTTTGTCTTTTCAGGAATGCAGTTAAATAGATTCTGAGATGACTCAGATTATTAGTTCATATTATTCAACAAAATGAATTCAGTACAGGTGGAGGGACAGTAAGTGTCTCTTGAAATATATTTATTTAGAAAAAAAATGAAATAGAAATGCAAATATGACTTTGAAATTATCATGTTTGCCACACAGAAATAATAAAATGAAGTCCTTTTCACTAATTTTTCTTAGATCTTGTATTTTCTCTTCAAGTATCCTTTGCAGATATTAAACAGAAAATTACTTACCCCAGAAAATTGAATAAGTGGTATTTCATGATGTCAATTGCAGATCTTTTATGAGTTTCAAGACAAAAAATACAATGCAGAACAGGGTCAAAGGAAAATAACCAAAAAGTCCCAAGATGAACCCCTCTCTTTTGAGAAGTATTCAAATTGCATAGAATACTTCATACTTATTAATCAGGAGGCCTATGGATATTTTTTTTTTCATACATTCAATCTGTTAAATTTTTTTTAATTTTTCACTTTTTATTTCCCCCTGAAGGTGGCATTCACAATGAGGAAATGACTAGGAATATTGGTACACAGGAAGAGTCCTTAATCCAGCAAAAGTTCAAGCAAGGTAGAACTGTAACAGCAAAAAGAATTTTCTGAGAGGGAAACTGGAATTTATTTTATTGCCTTCTTACATGCTCCTTTGATGTACAGGTAAACCTTTTGTGTGGTTTCAAACATTTGGAAACTGGGTAGCAATGTAAACATGTTGTACAAGCTGAACTGATGTGGCTCTGTGACTTGTATTTCACCTCAAGGAGGAAGCTGAGCCACAAAAGAATGGACTGACTGGGAGAAAGGGGCAAATCCCAATTTCAAACAATAACAAGTCCTTTGTTGCTGCTGATGCCTTCTCAATTCTTTTTTCTGCTTTGATTTTTTGTTCTACGCTTCAATTTTCTTCCTCTGCATCATAGAATGAATGAACAACTGAACAACAACTTAAACACCTCTTTGAGTGTGTTGTGTAGAGTCACCAATGCTGTCTGAAATATGTAATTTCCAAGAGCTCTGGTGTTCAGTGATTAATGCTGAAGGTAGGCAAACCTTTTAAAGAAAGTTTGATATTTAAAAGGATTTTAAAGCATTAAGTGACATAAATTTCAATTTCTTTTCCATGGATGCAATTCAATTTTTTGAAAAGTCACATTTGTGAAGTCACACAGAGGTGAATTTGCCAATAATGGCACTTAGCATAATGCAGCATTTTCATTTTATTTTTTCTCTAAGGCATCTGATGACCTTTTGATCTTTCTTCCAATTCAGTATATTGTCCTTCTATGCATTGATCTAGTTGAAGTATAAATACCACAAGAATGAAAACAAACAACATAATTTCCCTCAGATTGTTTTTCAGAGCTAATACTACCCCTCTTCAAAATCATAATAGACATTTACTATATTATTTTAAATTGTCAACAACTGTACAAAACCCAGGATATAATGCATATACATATAGGTATAATGGAAAAAATATTTTAAGAGAGAATGTTCACCTTCATGTGTATTTGTATTCTGATCAAAACTAGTCAATTAGAGAAATAACAACAGGTACATTAAATTCAGCAAAGCATCCACACTTGCCTGTTCAAAAGTATTCTTTTGAAATTCTTCAAATCCAAAAATATCTAATACTCCAATTTCAAACACCTGGTCACTGGGGAAAAAAAAGATATTACAGATAATAAGAATTCAAGCAAGTGAATAATACATCTGTTGTTTTTGACAGAAGTATTTCTGTTCTAGGACAAAAGCAGTCTGTATTTCAAAAACATGGATGAAATACACAAGCAGACCATGTACAGAATAGAATCAAAATTCTACTCAAAACCTATTATACTGAACAGAAATAAAAAAGCAGGGTTCAAGGTTGCTTTAGCAGCTATGCTAAAAACTTAATTTGTAAGAGAAGGAAAAAATCTTAACTTCTTAAAGTCCAGTTTCTAAGAATATAGGTACTCATTTTCTGATATCAAGGATAACCATTTCAGGGAAGTTTCAAAAATGCCTGGTTACACTCAGTTATCCTTTTCCAGTTATATTTCTTTACAGTCAGGATTGCTTCTACAGAATGTACTTCAAGGGAAACCTGTTAAGCACAAGTCGTCTCTGTGTCAGCATCAAGTGAATTTCTGGGCTCAGGCTGTCCAAGAGGTTACATGTCCCAGGGGAATGAAAGTCGGGGGTCAGGCCTGAAGAAAGCAGATGTTCCTTCTCTGTATAAATAAAAGAGTAGCTGCTGATGTTGCATCTGATTTGTTGTGTGTCACTGCATGCATTCAGGGAAGGGATTTTATTGTGGCCAGGAGTGAAGTGGAAGGATCAGGGTAGAGCAGTCACCTAGAATTTGGACAGAAGAAATGGGATAAGGACAGAGGTATTACTATTCTGTACTTGGGACTGAGTCATTGTAAGCCTGATTTGGAGGAGGAACTCAATTCACTCAGTGAGAAAATTGAATATTTTGGGATATTCTGTTGCCTACTTTGCAACAATAATACGGCAGACTGTTTGTTCTGAGATCCTTCCATATTTTTTTTCTCCATATTCCAAGTTTCCTCTATGTCTAAAGCTCTGTGCATATCAGGCTATAGATGTAAAGGAGAAAAAACTGAACCACTGTTGAAAGACATAAATATGTTTCCATTGCAGTCATTGTAACCCCCTACCATGCCATTAGATGAGGATCCAGCCCTCAAAATAAATTCCTGTAGAGCAAACAAACAAAGTAAAATAATTTGAAAAAAATGCATATTATAAAACAAGCTGGGAAAAACAATCCTCAGGGGCAAGCAGAGCCTTTATCAGAAATCATGCCCAAGAAGTTTGCCTTCATTTCAAAAGCACACTAGTTCAATGCACTACTGATTGTCACAGGACTGGCTGTGTGCATAAATGTCAGACATGGATTGTTACATAATAAATCTAGTCCAGAATGGCTTTGCTGGGCAGGGGAGGTTATCGGGAGGTCGATTAGCCTCCAAGGGAATTTCTACAAGAAAAAGCATAAAGCTGTATCACCACATCCATCTCTAGCAATGAATGCAATTTAAATTGGGTTTTAAAATGTAAGCCACATTCACAACTGCTCCTGATTAGAGATGGGGGGTGTACATTCCTTGTCAGAACAAGTTTTCAACAAAATCTGTCCATTTATAGAAAGAAAAATTAATTTTTTAAAAACAAACTACTTCAGAGAATGAATATTGAAAATCCAATTGTTATTTACATTTGTTTTGGGGAAAAAAGAGAAGCTTGAAATTTTAGAATACTTTATAGGTTTTCACCCTCGATTTTTTTATTTTCTTTTCTTTTTTCCCATTTGTATGTAGCCTTCCTTGTAAGAAGACAAGCATTAACTGCTGTGTAGCATTGTACAACAGCTGAAATATTGCAATATATTTCACAATTTTTGAGAACTACTTAATGCAGACAAAACAGCTTATCACTTCTCTGACTGAATTCAATTCATAATTTGAGACTGGATTGTTTACATCCCTGTTGAGTCTGTGACTGTTATTTTGTCAAATTAGTCTCTCTTACTTTCCCTCAAGGAATATATAAACATTTGCATTAAGAAAAGACCAATTCAAACTGACTTAATGAATTATTAAAAGTCAGGCAAAATGGGAACCTGATCCTAGCTTCCAAAACTCTGGGTAAAAGCCTTAGTGCATTCCTTATCAAAACTCTGATATTTGTGACAAATGCACGGGCTTGCAAATATACTGGAGATGCATTTGTTGACAGAAAAACATGTAGTCTCAGTGTTTTCATGAACTTCTCTTGATAATTTTGGTCTAGTACTATTAGGAGATGCACACACCACATTAAAAGAGCTGGAGGTTTTACATAATTAATATCTTGCCTACGGGGTAAGTACAGAGCACTAGGATCTGTATCCTCTACAACACTGACATTTTACTATTACAATGTGCTTTTTATGTGCAAAATCTCTTCAACCATGATAGCAATTTTCTGTATTAAATTATGGCTCAGATTTTGAAAACTAAATAACAACTGACAATACAACATCCAAATTAAAAGCATTGCTTTATATGTGGTTGCAAATTACTTTGTTCTTTTAATCTTTCTTGTCTTCCTCTTTTTCATATCACTTTTCTTGCCAGAAGGAGGGTCCATATATCTTTCTACTGGCTAGCTGTCAATCATGTTAATTCCAGCAAAATTACTTTCCTTAAATAATCATAGCAGAGATTCCCAAGGCAAAATAAAGCATGAATGATTGCATGTTAACAAATGAAAGGACACGTCACCAGGGTCTAAGAGAACAAATATTAGAAAAAGGCACTTTTTGTTCTGAAAGATTTTCTTATTTTATGGTTACTAATAATCACTGACATATTTCTTCATTTTATTTCAGATATTTAACATTACTATGTATAACTAAAAGAACTGTGGTTTTAATGGGGACTGAGACTTTGATTTCAAGTTTGAAAATATTTCCCAGAATATAAAGTAGAAAAAAAAAAGAATTTGCTGATGTTTGAAGAACTTTTTTATCTCTTATATCAGCAGACAGGTGTAAATACTTTTAAAAAAGCATGGATGTTCACTATAGGTCTTTGGTTTTCTGATACACAAAAGAGCATTTCAGCTAACATTTGCAATGTCTCCAGCTTTGCCTTTTTTCCTCAGACCATCTCTGTAAAGATACCCTTATAGGAAAAGAAATACCTTTTTAATCTTGTACACTTAACAACTATATTATAAAGAAACTACATAAAAATTCTTGGCAACTCCTAAAAACAATACACATACAGAAGACATCCTCTCTGATAACCTACCACCTTGGCAGACATCTTCCCATTCATCAAGAGATGCTCTCAAATCATTTGCCATTCTTGGCAAGGTGAACAAAACTCCCTTTACTCCTGAAGATTGGGTACATCTACCCAATGCTTCAGACAAACCTACAGAATGTTATTTGTTCACTTTTATTTCATTGTAAATGGTTCTTAGCTCCAAAATGCATAGGGTCCATTCCTTTTGTTATCCTTTGCCATCTGCCAGCATAGAGCAGTGAGATGAATCTGTTGGGGGAGGGAAATGCACCTTTTCATCTGCCCAAGACACAACAGCTCTTGCTCTTCCTCCAACTGCTGCCAGTAATGAGGAAGGCTTATGTCTGATCTGGATATACTGGAAGTGATACCGATTAATGAGGAAATATTTCTCTGATTAGAGGAGGTTTATAGCCTAGCCTTCAAATGAGGTCCTTCAGAATCCTAATTAAAAAGCCCTTGGTTTTCCCAGGGGAACAGATTATGCCTGTTGTCACAAACACAGTGCTTGAAGGGAACAGGCTGAATACTTCCAGTTGGATAAGTTCCTCTTCATCTCAAATAATTATCAAAAAAAATTAATTTCTGAAATGTTTGAGGGAGATTTTTCAGTAGTTTGAAATTTTTGCTGAGATTTGGTGACATTGCCATGTCTCTCAGATATCTTGCTCAACAAGTGTAATTTTTATTTTAATATTAACTTACCCAGGTGTGAGTGGTGCATACAGAGAAGGTGGCTGCACACAACAGAAGGAAACACTGGCTCCATATCTGACAGACATTTTTTTGAGTGGCTTGACAGTTATGGCAGGAAAGAAGAAGTATATTTGCCAGTGGACTCATGATCTATAGCTCTTTCATTAGTAGCACATACTCTTCCTCAGCTCTTTTAAGTGAAATTTGTTCTGTGCTTTAAAAAATGGCATTATCTAGTTAAATGAAACACTGGAAATTATCCAGAACTAAACAGATTTCAAATTATGATATTATGCACCAAATTATATTAGATGCTTTCAGTTTGTTTTAAAGACTTCTCTACCTCTAGATATAGAAACAATTCTCATGATGCTGTGGGTTAAGGTTCTGAACAGGAAGTTCCTTTCCCTCCTTCCTGCACTCCCAGCACCCTTCTACTGAGCTCAGTAATAGATAAATAAATCTTTTAGGGTTTATTTTCTGATTTTTTTTTTCTGAAGTTAGGAAGATTTCTATTCCAGAGTATCATGTTCTATAAATCAGATAATGTATTAAGAATTTTGTAAATGAGACATCTGAGGTCCTTCCATTGCCCAAATAAGTGTTCCTACTACTACTCTTTGACACTACTTGAATTTTGATGGGTATGAATATAGAGTCAGAATATAAAAGCTCTCAGAAACTAACTCTTCAGAAATAATCTGTATGCTCTGTGTACAACAGAAATCTTTTGCTGACCTGGTAGTACAGATAGAAAGCACAACTGAATGCCAGCTTGCTTTGTTTGTCTGCAATGCTGCCACATAAGAATCTCAGAATGGGTCAGGTTGGAATTGACCACAGTGTGGTCATCTGGTCCAACCTTCCTGCTCAAGCAGGGCCATCCCAGAGCACATGGCACAGAACTGCATTCAGATGGCTTTTGGATATCTCCAGTGAAGGAGATTCCACAGCCTCCCTGGGCAGCCTGTTGCAGTGCATGGTCACCCACATAATAAAAGAGCTGTTCCCAATGTTCATGTGGAACTGCCTGTGCATTAGGTTCTGCCCATTGCCTCTTGCAATGCTGAGCAGAGCCTGGCTCCAGCCTCTGACACCCTCCTTTCAGATTTTATAGACTGAGATGGGGTTCCCCTCTCAATTGTCTCTTCTCAAGACTAAACAGGCCCAACTCTCTCAGCTTTTTCCTCATAAGAGAGATGCTCCAGTCTCTGAATCACCTCTGCAGCCTTCCACTGAACTTGTTTAAGGAGCTCCACGTCTCTCTTCTGCTGAGGAACCCAGAGCTGGACACAGCACTCCCAATGTGGCCTCATCAGGGCCGAGCAGAGGGACAGGATCACCTCCCTCGAGCTGCTGGCACTGCTCTTCCTGATGCACCCCAGGACACCATCAGCCCACCTGGCCACAAGGACACACTGCTGGCTCACTGCTGGCTTGTTGTCCACCAGGACATCCAGATCCTGCTCCACAGAGCTGCTTTCCAGCAGGTCACTCCCAATCTGTCCTGGCACAGAGGGTTGCTTTTCCCCAGATGCAGGACCTGCCTTTGCTGAATTCCAGGCAGTCCTTCCCTGCCCATCTCTGCACCCTGCTGAGGCCCTTCTGAAGGGCTGCAAAGCACTCTGGGGTATCAGCCACTCCTCCCAGCTTTGTGCCCTCAGTGAACCTGCCAAGGAGACATCTATCCCATCATCCAGGTCAGGTATGAATAAGTTAAACAATACTGGCCCAGTAATGGACCCTGAGGGTGATTGCAAGTGAGAGGTCTCCAGCTAGACTCAGGCCCTCTGGGACCTGCTGTTCAGCCAGACTTTATCTACAAAATATTTATCAGCGTTTAACTGGTCTTATCTACAAATAGAGAAAAGCTTTTCTAACTAGCTGATAAAAAAACATGCCTTAAACTTACTAGCAGGCAAGGAACACAGTATCAAGATTTTCTCAGGGATATATACCTAATCAGCTTGTTTTCCATGAGAAATGGAAACCAATACTTCACAAGAATCCACACACATTCTTAAATCTTCATAAAGAAAAAGCCCTCTTGCAGAATGAGTCAGGAACTGTTAAAACATTACCTTAAATAATTTCATTACTCATTTGGATCACCAGATCCAACTTTGCCAACATGCAATCAATTACATTGAAATGCCACATTAAGGCAACCATGAATCTACAAAACTGAGAATCAGCATACTTGTCTGAGTAAACTTTGAAGAGTTAGGAGTCTTAAGAAGAAATTCCCTGAGACTATCTTGATAATAATAACATCAGTAGAATGGGAAATCCTTATATAGATGAGTGAAGATAAATATCAATAATTAAAAAAATAATTATAAGCACCTGTGAGAAATGTTATTAGCTTTCTTCTGATCCCACTCTAGGGGCCAATTATGGCAAAATAATTTCTCCACAAAAGATTTTTAAAAAATATGATCAGAATAAATAAAGTAAACAAATTTCAGATCTTGCAACCAGTCTAAAGTAAAATCCTAAAATGTAGGATTTTAATTTAGTTAAAACTCGACAAAATTATAAGTTTTTGTGAAAGAGAACAATGTTTCTAAAGGTACATTATCTTACTTAACACAAACATTAAAATTCTTGTTTTATACCTATTGAGTAATATTTCAAAGTAATTAATTTGCTGGATTCTGGCAACACTTTCTATTTGCTGGACTTCATACCTTTAGAGCTCGGTCTTTGAAGTTTTTCACAGAATCATCTCCCCTTTGCTTAGACATAATGACAATAATTCCTTTTATTTTGCCTAAAACCTGTAACAAGCTTTTTCTTAGTAAATATAAATCAACATTTAAGACCAAAATCAAGTATTTCAACCATAAAAGTTAAACATGGATAACCAGCTTCCTCAAAAATGCCAATAAAAATGCTTCTTTTAGAGTTACTAAGCCAAGAAATCTAATTTTATTGCTTCATGAATTCTCACTGGTGTGATGGAAGTACAGCTAAGCTGCCTCACAACAGAACAGGAGAACTGAGTTAGAAACCTTATTCCAGGTTTCTGATGAAGGCTTCATCCCATCTGATAAGTAGTAATTTTGTCAGTTTCCAACTGAGGAATAGTGTGGCCTGGAATGTATCAGACTTATGTAGTCACATAGGTAAATGTTGCAGTGCATCTTTCAGCTGCACCAAACTGGAGATATATTGCTGCTAACTGATAGCTGCTCAGATGTATTTGAAGTAAATCTGACCCAATAATCACAAATTCATTGCAGTAGTCCAACTTGCATCTAGAACTATTCTATGCCTTGATTTACTCCTCCAGTTTAAACAATATGATTAGGCTGGACTAAAACAAAAAAAGAAAAAAAAGCTGCATGCGAGTTACTTCAACTGAGGTTGAAATATCAGCGAAGGATGATCAACCTTATTTCCACTTAAAATAAGCTACGTAGCTTCAAGTTTGGAAAGGGAATGAAGCTGGTTTTGGCCTGATAAAACTAGCATACCTTGTCAGTACTGCCAATTAATCCTGAGCAGGTTAGCTTTCTATACCCAGCCTAATTGAAGAACTCTTCCTTTTCAAGCATAGGTCTAATGTGTGGCCAGAGGAGACCATTGTAAATTCCTCATTTCTGATACATCAAACAGCTGTCTGGTTTTAGCTGGACTTACAACCTCACACAGTCTTCAAGTTACCTCATAGGTAGAAATAGTTTCACTGAGAAATATTTTCACAAGGTAGATGTCACCTCTTCTACCTAGGGGTTGCACTAAAAGGAGACTTCAAGGTAGACAATGTACAAACAACTTTGACTTTCATTATCTGAAGATCCTATGATATCTAAAAATATAGGCTTATATTAACAACAGAAGTACACAACACCCTACTCTGAAAGAATGTAAAATATCAAATTGTAAAATTACACACTGAAAAGTAATTTCAAATAATTTTAATATATTTAATATATCAATTCTAAATTTCTTTCTCAACAATCACTAGAAAAAAGCTCACTGTAATTAGAAATGCCTGAGCTGGATTTTTGTCCGTCACAGACATGCACTGATCTAAGCCTCTGTTCCATAAATCCCAGGAATGAATGAGGAAGAATGGTGGCCTCATGTTACTGCCCTTCCTTGCTATATAGACAGTATGTCAAATTAGGCCATGAACTGGAAAATTGCCCTAGCTTAGTGTCGCAAAGAGACAAGAAAAATCATTCCATGTTACTTCTGTTTGTTGTCAGCAGGAAGTGAGATACTTCTGGTGGTGTGTATATAATGACAGATAGATTTTAGGTGCAGAAAGATGAGTTACTCAGGCATGGCACCTTTTTCTCTTAGTTACACCCATAGAAGAGAAGAGATTTGTCACTAATTGGTCTTTGAACAGGAATAAAAATAAGATTGTGAAATCGTCAAACTCTAAAAGAGGGTACCTTGTCCTATGCAGCCATTGAGAGATGATATAAAGAAAACATACTTATGAAAGTTCCACATCTGCCATTAGTGGATTACCATTTACCAATAATTCCAAGCCACTAGTATTTTATGTTCATAAGAAAACTCAGCTGAGCATTTGAGCTGTTGAACTTTGATTAAGTCACATACATATGATCATCTGATTAGATCTACTGTCTTAGTTTGTTGCTTTGATTCCACTGAGATTTCGGGGTTTTTGTTCCTTTAATTTGTTTCTTGACTGCTCCACTGATGCACATTAATTAGCATTCATTTTTCCAAGAAGCCATGCTGGATAGCAACAGCATCAAATTTAGAAGATGCCAACCTAGGGAACATTCTTAGAACATTTCAATCAGTTAAGTTTAAACATTCATTTGAAGACCTTTGAAAAATATTCTGGTTTTAATACCCTGCGCTAAGGTCACTTGACTTGGGAAGAAAGAACAAGTATGTTCTGCATTAAAAAAGCACCAAGCAACATTTTTCATGTTAAAAGACTTAGCTTATTCTGTATTGTCAAGTCCTAAATGGCCATTAATTGTAACCACCAATCTAGATCACCACATGAAGTACCATGGCCCCCTACATAAGCAAACAAATAAACAAATATGTTACAGTAGAAGCAGTTAGAAGGAATAGCCAATGCTTTAAAGATTCAAGCATCACTGTCATGCTATTATAAAGTTCTTTAAAACTTTATCAGGGTGCATTAAATTCCACCATTTAAAGGAATCATGTTTCTTTTAGGGTTCTGAGTTTGAACAGACAATAGAACACCTAATAGTTTCCAATGACTCTCCTACCTGACACTCTCATCTTGATTTTGAAGGTAGCAGTTGATTGTGTTGACTAAAAAGCTAAATAAACGACAATAGAGAGATTTTGCCAAGAGATCCCGGTAAAATTCTGCAATCTCTGTAGTGTGCCTCCGAACAATCGTGTCTCCTAAGAGAAAGAGCAGAAAATGGAGATGAAAGTGTGCTGTAAACTTTGCCTTAAGTAATTTTAGTTACAGTAAATTTAGCTACAGTTGCTTCTCCTTTGCCAAACATTTACATGGTGTTAGCTTTTTTCTGAAGCCTCCAGTGCAAGATGAGAAGACTGTCAACACTCAAAAGATTTTAAGTTTGGAAATACATGTCTTTATACTTTGTTCAAAAGAAATGTGTATGAGTACTACACAGAACTAATATTTTACTGAAAATACTTTTTTTCAGATTTTTCCCTAAGACCCTCTTGTTGATTACAGTTCTTACTAATATTCTCTATTAATATCTAATCTGTTATCTTGACACACTTTTGCAACATTAATCTAGTTAGGAGCCCATCAGCATCACAGTGTGAAACTGCTTTGCTCCATATTACAAAGGCATTTCTAATTTAGTGGCCCAGTCTGATTTACTGCATGGCAGATAAGCCTACATATTTCTCAGAGGGAATATTTACAGGACCATACAAGAAATAAGAAACAAAAAAATTGACAGCTTTTATATTTTAAATCAGGAGGCTCAAAATGCCACCAGGCCTGATCTATGAGAATGTAAGCTTGGAGAAGATTACCTTTAAAATATTGAACATCAGTTGTTAAGGCTGAAGCAAGCTCATCTGGTGAAACCTGCAGCATCCCTGCCACTGAAAGGAAAAGAAAATGTAAAGAAAGACTGATTTATGGCATACTGCATATTTCATTTTTTTACAAGTTTGCTTCTGCAGATTTCTTTTTGAACGGTGAAAGAATTCAAACATTAAAGAAAAGGGTGCTGTCACAGGAGTAATCAAAATCAACGGACACATAAAATAGGATTACTATAATCACTATTTTGTGAAGTATTAATGTATCTCTATATTACATTACAACTTACTTTCCCCTTCAAAGACTACTCAGGACCTTCCCCGAGGTTTGGCAGACTTTCTGTGGTATTAGAGTGAAGGTATGCTACTCATTGACATTCTGTATCCATAAGCCACTTGAAGGAGATTTGTTAGTGACCAAGAGGGCAAACTTCAAAGCACAGAAACAAGAGTCCCTTTTCAGACATTGATTTTGAATGTAAGGAATTCAATTCAAAGCAAATTGTTCAGCTGTTGACAAGCAGCGCAAAAGCATTTCAAAACAAGACTGCACAAAGTGCGCTGTACAATTTCTTTTGGCAAACGATTGCATTAAATATGACATTTAATTAGCTAATTTGCAATATCGGCATTTTATTTCATCCCATAAAAATCTGTAATTTATAAAACACCCAAGTCAATTGGATACTGTCTTCCCACAGTAAGTTATGAATTTTCAGAAGCCATTTCTTTTTGTCTCCCTGGAATTGTGTTTCCATCTGTCGGTGGAACAGCGCAATTTCCCTGCAGCGGGAGCAGCGGGCGACGCTCCGGGGTCGTGTCCCACTGACCTTGCTCCAGGAGCTGCAGGTCTGACACGAACGCTGTCTCAGCATCCGTCAGGGCCGTGAAGCGAATGTCGCCAAGATGCAGAATTGCTGACAGAATCACAAACAGGTTCTCCACCTCCTGCATATTTTTTTTTCAGAATTAAAGATAAAGAAAAGATCTGTTGGACACACCAGTGAAAGGCAATGCTTTATAAAAGTATAAATTCTGTTAGTTTGGATCATCAGCGTTTGATAAGTTGAAAATCCTTCACATTTGAATTATTAAGAGGAAATTTGAAATCAAACTGGCACCTAACTAGGACATGAACCAACAAAATAACTTTTTATTTCCTTGTTTTAATGTCACATTAACCAGTGGTTTAAGAAAGTTTTTCCCAATGTGACAAAAATATTGAAATATCTTTAATGGATGCACTGTTTCTGCAAGAAATAAAACATATTTTGTCCATAGAGAATTTTCATTGAGACAATTTCTGTATCTGGGAATAGCAATGTTTTTTTTGCCTCAGTCAACTGAATTCACAAAGTGTCCAGCTCTATAGGTTCCTGGTATTAAAAGCTGTAATTAAGGTCCAAAAGCAACAAAAGCAACTTTCCTTACCCTCACACTTTCCCTCTGAGATTGCACACTCTTCTGTGATGTCTCAGATTGTGAAGCAGTTATCTTTAGGGGTAGATTTTTTCTGACCTCATTTTTATCATAGCAAGAAGAAAACTAACTGTCTTCAGTTGTTTTGGTTGGTTAATTATATTTAAAATATTTTTAAATTCAAGGAAAAATATGATCTGTGGAATATAAAGCTTATATCCTAAAACAGGGAAAGCATTGTGGTTTTGGATGTTTTTCTTTAAGGTCAGTTATATAATAATGGCACTTCTTAAAATGGTAAAACAAGAAACCTCATATCTACTATAACATTACCTGGAATTATGCATAGCAAAATTAATTGATAATTCTTGAAATATTTTTCAAAAATAATATTTAGAGCCTGATTCTGCTGAAACTGCTGAAGTGACAGTGAGAAATATCACTTATCAGAATTTGCAGACTATAAGATTATACATGTACTACTGATGAAATACTTAGCTAGTACATCCTCTTTTTTTTCAAGTTTTCTTCTTCATTTCTTCATGTTATTTCCCTGATAAATATGCCAGTCATGAAAGGACATTAGAAAAGCTTTAAGTCTTTCTGGGATATATTATAGCACTTCCAGTGCTGTTCAAGCAAGTTTGCTTTCTAAACTACACTTTAGGACAAGAATGTCAATCTCTTACTGTATGAGAGAGGTGTCAACAGTGCAACAGTGTATTTTAGTATTACATGGTACCAAAGCTGAAGACTCAAAATATCCAATATATACAGAGAAAGTCTGAACAAGATAACTCTTAAAATAGAAGAAGTTATGCTAATATAGCATTCAAACTAGGGTGCTATACTCTGCTTCTTGGGATGTATCTCAGGCAAGATGAAGTGGCACACCAGCAGTGCACACTCATTGCTTGTAGGTTAACTCTTACAGAACTGGCTTGGGGATTCCTGTGCAACACTGAATGACAGTGGGCTGGGACAGCTTCTGCTTGTGGTGATTTTGGTGAGGTCTCAGGTATATTTCACATTCCAGATTCTCAAACACTTTATCATTGTATAAGATGCATGCTTCCCCACCTTTAAAACAGTAGTTGGTTTTAATAAACACTAACATTCTTTGGAATATAGCATTAATGACTGCTAAGGAATTTTTATGTAGTTCTTCAAAAAGATTATCTACTCTATCAATAAATGTGGCGAGGTAGTCAAAGAATGATACATACAGACCTCTCCCTGTACCTCAGAAGTAATAGGTAGAAATTTTAGGAATGTGTTTTATCTACATATTGCCCTCCAACATTCAACGCAGGAGATCAGCCTGCAGTACTTGAGAGTTTCACAGATTTCTTGTCACCTTATTATTATTCTAATACTGCCTGAATACAGACCAGGTTTTAAGATGTTGACACTTCTCTGAGAGGTAACTTCTTTTCCAGAATTCTGAGTGAAATAAATTATAGGACTCAAAAGAATACTGTGTATGAAGCATTCTCAGACAGCTACTGCAGGCTTATAAATCATGATTCATTTAGCATTCATTTATTTACTTATGGGCTGAACCTTATGGATTTCTGGGCCACACACTGGGCCCCTCCCTGGGGGTTCCCCTGTCAAGGGAAACCCTCCTGGAGTCATTTGGTGTCAGGAAAAGGAGAAGCACAGGACTCTTTAGGTCTTCAGCTTCTTGTTTATTGTTATCTTATCTAAAGTTTTACGTGTCCTCTATACCAGACTCTGTGCTGGAAGAGCACAGCAAAAAACGGCTAATAATGTCTTGTTACAAGGTCTTTTAAGACTAAACTATCCAGTTAAGAACTGACACCTAGGTTATTTTCCCTTTTAACCCAATAACTGATCCCTTGAAGCCCACAATATGGACTTTTCTGCCCAATTTCAGAACATCACCCAAACCATGAAGAGGAAGGAAGAAGAAGCAAGAAGAAGGAGCTCAGGACAACACCCTATATCCTCCCTCTTGTTCCCATCTGCAACAGAGTAAAAATCCCAAAACCTAAATTTCTCACCCAAGTGACATACTACGCTACTCTCTATAATCTATTTCACACTTTTGTGGACTCCAGTCTATCTTGAAGTTTTGGAAGCTTTCTCCATGAATGAGGGTCAAAGTCAGTGTTTCTCTGGGGGTCAGAACCCCTCAGAGCAGACAGGGAAATATTCCCTGTGCCCTGGCTTTCCACAGAACCCATTCCTCAACAGAACAGAAACATTCATGAAAGAGCAAGAGAGATCCAACAAACTGAACACTGGGCTTAATCCAGAAGTGTCTGTACCTTTTGTTATTGAAATCCACTAGTACAGACCCACTAAAAGTAAGGAATAATATCGTCAAATATAGCCATGTGTGTTCAATTTTGTACATGGCCTCATGAACATTCATGAAAATAAACCCCACTCTTCCTTACACTGAAAGGTGACACTTTTTACTCCCTTAACTAAGGAATGCCAAACAGCTCCATGGTGTACCAATACCACCACAGAAGTCTAAATTTCCCACCTAAAGAACAGCTTCAGCAGATTGACAAAATTTTTGCTGATAGCCCTTGATCCTTTTTTCTTACAACTGCTGCCTGTCTGTCATTTTTGATGAAGTTTTAACTTAGAGTTACATTAACTTTTGGTCCCCTTTTTTCTAATGATATGGTACAGGAGTAAGTTCTTGCCTCCTTCTAAAACTACTGTTGCTTATGCACTTCTGTTGCAGAAGTGCTCCAGCTACAGTGTGCTAGGTAGCATCCACATTTGTAAGAAATATAGGGAGTTTGTTAAGCACTGCAGTTTCCTGAAGGGATGCACAGTTTACATGATTTCTTATATTCATCCCTCTATTTCTTCTGATTTCCGTCACACCTCTCTCCTCTAAAACCTCTTCTTGATTAATTTTCCAAATTATCGTCTTTAGTTTCATAGAATTAAAGACAAACTGCAGGCCTATCTTCTTGTTGCTTTTGGGGAATTAAGTCAGCTCTTTCAAGTTACCTGGCTCTAATTTTCTTTCCTAAATAGGTATTTACTTCTTTTCAGGTGCTGTTAGCATATGTGTGTTTCATGAAATTAATAAGGATGGGAGATAATAAGGAAGAGGAAAAAATTTCCCTGGCTTTTATGAGGTGTCATATGGGATTTGATTGCTTCTTTTTATCTATGTAATTTAATTGTTCAGAGTATTGTACCTTGAAGCTGTTTTGTGAATCTTTAAAAACGAAAAAGATTTACATTGTTGGTTCTGTGTCTAATTAAAAGTGATTACAGTAATTTCCCTGGAGTGAACTAGTGCTGTATTTGTTTCAATGTCTTAACTAACGGGGGGGGGGGGGGGGGGGGGAAAGGACAGAAAGAAGCTTCTTCTAGCCACAAAAGGTTATCTGTGAGTTACTTATGGCCTGATTTCAACTAATATGATTATTTTAGCCAAAAATAACATACGCTCATGTAACTTACCAGGCTATTGAATCCCAGAGCACCTAGAGCTTGCTTTAGTATGGTTAATTTCTCCCTGTTTTGAGGGTTGGCTGCTAACATCTCTTCTAATGCAGTCTGGCTTAGATACCTGCACAGAGGAAAAACAGCATATCTGGTATTTACAAGGCGGTACATGATCAAACTTTTGAAGTTAAAGTCCAGCTTTACATTTCTAGCCAGAGGTTTATTGCAGATTTTTCTCAGCCTTTGGAAGGAGCAGTACCAACAACAGAATGTTCTGTATTTCTTTCTTAAACTTTTGCTTAAGACTCCCTCCAATCCCAGCTTTAGCCCTACATGAAATTACAAACTGGGTTTATACCACTGCCAGTTCAGTGATTCTTGCACTACCAGAGATTTCCCTTCAAAGGCAGATTTGAGGAGAACCTCTGATAGCTCTGACTGCTCTAAATTCCCCTCTTGCTGACGAGGGAATAGATCAGCCCTTAACTACCACGATGATCATTCCCTCCCCCAGCAGCTGCATGGGCAATAGGTGCACTCAACCTCTCTCAAAATGAAGCAGTAACCAAGTACACAGAGTGGTAAGTGTACAGTCCTTAAGCTGTACTGCTTTGCACACTGCAAAGCAAAAGGAAATTTTATGTACCTTCCCAAAAATAATGATTAGCAGAGAAAGAGACACTAGTGCAGCAGCTAACTCAGGAAAGGAGAAAATGTAAGCAACATAGAGTAATAATACAAAACAGATTAATCACAAACTGTAGCAAAACAGATTATTGAAAAGTGCAGCAATCTAGTCTTTACAACCATTCATTTTGATCCTCTTGAAGTAAGTCAATATTTTTAAAAGTATTCAGATATCTTCATAGAGCTGAAATCACTAAGAATGAGGTATCTGAACATCTTACAGGATCTGACTTCTAATTACACAGTGCTGAGAATGTAAGAAATTTTCTTGTATTGTTTTCATTAAATTATCATAATCATCAAAATACACATTCATCACACAATCTGCAATCTTCACAAATGTCACTTAAACAAAAAAACTCTCCACACCTTTTTCCAAATAACAATATCACTACACCAACAAAGGTAAACAATTTACACACATTTCAGCCCTCACCCTCCACCACAATTACAACAAAAATTCCCCACAATTATTCTGCTCTCTACTGATGTTCAGTCTACAATCTGTCACTTAAATATGGGAAACAATACTGGTTTAGTTTTTTACAATTCTTGTTTACAATCATGTTCTCATATACAGACATAGTTTCAAAATAAACTCCTATTACCACAGAAGGTTGGCAACACTCTAGTAGGGGTGGTAGTTCTTATAAGGATGCCCTTTTACATGAATGTGTGTAGGAAGAATTATTTAGTATTTGCACTTTTCCAACAGAGGAGGTTTAAATAGGACCCACAATGAAACATAAAAGGCATTTTGTGTGAATCTGTATCAGATTTATCAGTGTGGATTCCCCTTGCAGTGATAATGGTATAATTTACCACAGCAGGTAAGAAGAATGATGGGGTTAAAAATGTGTGCCTGGGAGCATGAGTACCTTTTGCACCCACAGGAAGCCTAACTCAGCAGTTATCTCAAGTATGAACAAGCCTCTCAACTCAGTGGATAAAGCTGGTTGTTCACAAACCATTGAGAAGGTGTGAGCATCCCTGGCAGAGCTCAGCACTGGCTCCTCAAGGTTACTAAAACATTAATTTTGTCAGACTGAGATAGGTACAAATGATAGCACAGCTGTCAAATCAACTAGAGCAGATGATACAAAGTATAGCTAGCTTTATGTTTTGTTGGGTTTTTTTCCTTTTATTTTTCCCCTGGAGTTTTTTACATTGCCTGTAGGTTCAAAGGGAGCCTAGAATACATCTAATACTGAATCTGGCATAGGACCTTGTGGTGTAAAGGTTAATCCATCAGAAAAAATTCCACTCTTCTGAACTGCTGCATGAGCTTATGCCAGTAACATGTTATGCATCATGAGCTGGTGGCACTTTTTCCCCATAATTAGGAGATTTACAGCAGCAGCCACTCTGCTGTCAAAATATTCTATTGTCGAATGTTGTGGGAGTTGGAAGCATATGGCCATTTCTGCAAAAAAAGCCTCCTCCTCAATGGTTTTGTCCCTAAATAACTCTTTGTCTCTCCCTGTGCTGAGCAGGGAGTAGTCTTTCCTGTTCTGTGAAGAGAATACTCCACACTTCTCCTTTTTAAGGCACCCCATTTAAGCAGCACTTTTTAGCACCGCTGAAGTGCTGGTGGGTTCAGCTGCTGCAGGAAGCTGTGTGAGCACTACAGCCCCTCTGCAAGCAGGCTGCAGCACAGCAAGGTGGTGCAGAGCCCCCACTCCCCGAGAGGGAAGGGCTGAGCTGAGAGCACGCGTGCCAGCTCTTGCCTTCAGCAATGCTGATTCAGCAGGGGGCAAACTGGGAACCTGCCTGACCAGGTGCCACGGCTCCACAAACCATCCACAAACTGCAGCATCTGCTGGGACATGCCTCTTGGAAGAGAATCTGACTTTCCCAGCTACACACATCCTGAAGACTTAATCAGCAGATGTGCTGGTGCTCTTGGAAAGGGATGCAGTTGGACATTTTCTAAACTGCACTTCAATTTAGTTTCCCCAGTCTAAAAGCAATTAAATTATTTTATAACATTTCATGAGGCCCACTCATTTTTCCAAATGATTTAAGGACTAATGAAATATGAAACATTGCTTTGAAGAGTTGCACATTTGACTGTTACACATTTATAATATAGAGTATACTCACATTAAGGACAGATTAATTGTATAGAGCACTTAGAACTGCTGATAGGTATCATACAACCTTCACAAAATGTAAGAAATATACAGTGTAACATAATATATTGTAGCCATACAAGGAAACATATTTTCCTAATTATTAAGTACGGTCTACCTCAAAAACACAGAAACATTTGGATAGAATCTTATTTTTCTTTTAAAACAGCTCCCTGGCAGCTTATTCTTTCCGCCTTAAAGATGTTGAGGACTAAAAGGGTTTGGGACATGATTCGTGTCAATATTACTATTGTAACTTATTTCTATTTAAGAACTAGAGTTCAGAACAAATCTTAAATTGTCGCCTCAAAATTAAAGAAAGAGGAAAGAGACGTGTCACAGTGCAAAAGTCCAAATAATAATAAACATTCCTTGGTTGAAGACACATAATTTTTCCATGAAATGTAAACTTTTTTCTAGGATGTGTATCTTCCCTCATATTTATAGTGCATTTTTGTCTTTTGACATTCAAGTGGCCTGGGCAGAATGGCATTGCTGGTGATGAAGAGGAGCTAAACTGCTTAAAATTTATATTTTGAACCTACCTTGGAGATTTAATTTATTATTTTTACTTAGATTTTTGTCTTTGTGAGCTATACCCATGAAAACCCATGATATTATTTGAGTGTGTGCAATGTTCCTATAAGTTTCCAACAAAATAGTCTGTGTTCAAATGTAAACCAGATCTGGTGACTCCTGAGCTCTTTGTTGCTGATGATTTTAATAAAACAGGTACTACTTCCATACAATCCAGAGCTGATGTTCTATAATATCTCACACACACAGGCTGAGCACCAGTTTCATTCTTACTTAGTTCAGTTTTACTAGCCTTACTGGCATATCTCTGTGTGCAAATTCATTCTGCAAATGCACAAGCAAATTAGTTTACTGAAGATGTAGAAAAATTTTCCCAGATTTTGGATGAAGTTGAGCCTCTTAACTGAAGATAGCTACTCAGACAAACGATATTTATATTTCTTGCAAAAGTCACAAACCAAAGAGTTTATGCAGTTCTAGTGATTAATACCTTTCTGCTGACTGTTTAAATGATACCCCATGCTGACATTGGCATCAGACTAGTACTTTTACCAGGCAGTATATCAGCACACAAACAATTTTTAAAGACAAGGTCAGTGATTTTCATTTAAACAAGAAGAAACTGACTGAATTGCAAAACTTCTTTTCCTAAAGAAGATAAACTAATTGAATTGCAGTATAGTCCCTTTCAGAAAAGCACAATGCTATATTAGATAGACAATTTCTTGAGAAATCTAGTTTCCTTTCTGATTTTTTGTCTAACAGTTCTAATATGCAGCACTGTAGCAATCTCATCTAGTCTAGTCTCTAAAAGAGAAAAAAGTACTATTTAGAAGAAAAAGTCAACGGTGGTAATTTTTTAGTATATTGTTTATCATAATATAAAATTTTTGAACCATCATTAGAATGACACCATAGATCACATTTTCAGGTAGGGATGTGACTAGTACAACCAAAAGTAAAAAAAAAGTATTTAGTGTGACATTCAATTCTTAAACATTATCGACTGACATAATTCCATAGTTACCTTATCTGTTTACCTTGTTATTCTCATTATAATGGTTACACATCATCCTAATTATTCAACTCACATATTTGGTAGTCATATCTCAAATATGAAGAAGAAATATGTATGTCAGCTTACCTGAACAATACTGAACTTTTGTGACATAAGCATATTTCAAAATTTCCTACATAATCCCAGCAGTTAAAAACTTTGTTCAAGTAATTAATCCTCTGCTTAGTTGATTGAACAAATAATGAGACTAAAGCTAGAACTAGCTAAGACAAGCAAAGATTAAAATGAAAAGTTTTGACTATCAGTTTGCCACTGACAAAAATTCAGCAAAATAATACCTGATTTACATTAATTTATTTTCTTTTGAACTGTGACCCAAAATCATTTAGTAGCAAAGTGATCTGCCTCATTCAACATAAACAATTCAAGTAATTTCTGTTTATTCTTAGAGCTACTACATGTATATAAAATCTGTGAAAAGACAAAAAATAAATCTGATCATAAACTTGGATATTTCACTAACAAAGTAAAACGTTACCAAAACACGATCCTAACCACTTTGCATTTGTAGAATCTGACACCTGAAATGTTCACGTATTCTGTAAGAGTAGCCATTTTATACCATGCACAATATTACATATTGCTCTGTAGGATACAGAAATAGCTACTTCATTGCAGTCATGAAACAGTCTGAAAGAGATTCCTAAGCTGCAACCAGTTCCCAGAAATTCCCTTTTGTCTGGACTGTAA